ACAGCGATGAAGCCATCTTCACATGGCCTGACCATGAGAAAGGGAAACTGCTGCGGAGCCAGAACGGCTCCTTGCGCAATGGACAAGTGATGCTCAAACCCAAGAACCAGAGGGAGGAAATCCTATAGCTCCCCTCAGGCGGCCTTTTGCTGGAGCTCAGTGGGAAAGGCCACTCCCGTCCCTATCCTACAAGGGCCTTTGGAGGCCACTTTGATTAGGACAACGCTGCTAACTCGTTTCACAGAAAATACCTTTGGTTTTGTGGGTTTCTTTTCAGTTAAATCTGGTTGTACTTGAATTTGAACTTCAAGGGAGATCAAAGGGAGAAGGCAACTGTGAGCCCCAGGTGAGGCATCAGGAAAGGACAGAGCTGGTGTCTGGAGAGCGACAGGACAGAACCACTTGGAGCAACTGTGAATGTGCAGGACCTTCCTAGGTCACCTCAGACTGCAGCGGAGGAAACACCCATGGACTTCCAGCTCTCTTTCCTTGGGAGCTCAGAGGAGGAAGGTCAAGGCTGTGCTTTGAGCTGTGCTCTGAGCTCCCTTCATGCTCCAGTAGCTTTCCAGGGGCTACTTGTGCTGTCGAACGTTTACTCCCACCTTCCCTAATGGTTTCAGCACTATTTTAATATAGACTTGTCCTTTCACATGCACTTGGCTGCTTTTGGAGTGTAGAGGAGGGGGAAACGCTATGGTCACACTCCTTTTCTTGCAGGTAGGAGAGGGGTTTGTAGCTTGTACTCACTGGGAGTGTTGATGACCTGGTGCCTGTTCAGGTGTGAAAAGCTGACCTGTCTGTGGTAATTGGCTGGGCTAGGAGACCCCCTCCTGCAGCACGCTCTCCTCCTGGGTACCAGAGCCTGGGTACCCACCTTTGGTACCTGTGGTTAATATCTGGCTTAATTCCAAAGCTGTGAGATGTTGTTCAGTGGCCCCAGCAGCTTCTGTTGGTCGCCAGGCCGTCCGTGAGTGTGGACATTAACCATATCTCAGTTCTGAAATGCTATATACCAGGGGGGTTGGCTTTGGGGGGTGGTTCTTAAGATTTGCACAACCCAGGCTAACAGAGGTTGATATCTTCAGTCCCCAGCAGCTGGCTGCTCCCTCTGGCTGGCAGTAGCAGCCTTATGAAGAGCCCTTTGTGCTCCTAACAACGTGCTGGTGTCCTTTAGTTGGTGGAAAAGGGAACTGTGGCCAAGGGCATCCCATGGTGAGTGCCAGCACCAAGGGACCATGTCTCTGCTGCCTGGGCTCTGGGAGGCAGGTGTGTGACCATCCTGGCTCCTTTATTTCACTGTGCTGCTGTGGATTGCAGAAATCAGCCTCTCGCTGGCATGAAGGATGCCACTACTCTGTGGATGGGTGGGCAGTTTATTGCCTTTGTGTTTAAAAACTGGAAACTTGTTTCATTGGCTTTGAGCTATGAAAGCCGAAAGGCTGTAAGTTCCTCAGTTGTATATTGCTGCACTACTGACGTGTTGAGCTAGATTAAACACTCTTGAATGAGGGGGAATGTTCCCTCGTTGAATGTAGTCATGGCTGCTGCTGTTTGTTTGCCTGGGCACTGGGCTGCCTTCCTCAGGCACCAGCACTGGAGCCTGCAGCTCTCCTGAGGACTGAGGCTGTGCAATTGTCTCTCTCTTGCCTGCGTCACAGCCAGGGCCACCCTCAGCCTTGTCTGTGTCACAGCAGCTGCTGCTCCAAGCCAGGCTTCCCCTTCCCAGGCAGCTCCTGCACCCGCTTTCCCTATGGCTCCTTCCCTCTGAGCCCGCCTGGGACCACGCAGGGGATGGCTGAGGCCAGGATGCTCCCCATGGAAAGGGGCACAGCCCAGGGCTGGCTCCGTACAGTGGCTGCTTAACTGTTGGGTGATGCCACCCTCTGATGCGTGTCCCTTCATTTGGGTGTCGGATGAACTACAACAAAATGAGGGTTTGGAAGCTGCAGGGATTGGCCCTGGGCCTGGGAGCGGTTTGTGCTGTTGGAGCTGTTGGGCTCTCACTGATTCTGGTCCTTGGGGCTTGTACTCCTGAGCCTCTTGCTCCTTCCCATCCTGGGGATGCCTCTGTGCAGGCCAGGGCTGGCTGTGCTGGTGATCGCTGCAGGGAGCAGTCCCCTTGCCGGAGTGCAGGGCATGCTTCCCAGTTTCCTGTTACGGAGGAGGGAATTAAAACCTGTTAGCACCACCACCACCACCTTTGTTCAGCTGAGCTTTTCTTCCTGCTTGCGCTTCCCTGTGGGTAATAGTTGTTGGGTTGTGGTGCTTTAGCTGGCAGCCCTGCGGGGGAAGGCTGGGGTCTGGGGAGCTGTGCCATTCCCTCTGCGCGGAGCGGCTCGGTTAGGGTCAGTGAGGGTGACGGGATGACTTCCTCACTCGGTAGTCATCTGTCATCACCCAGCACGGGTCTGTGACAGAGCACAGTGCAAGGCTTGGGGCTCCCATTAGTGTTCCCTGGCGCTGCAGTGCTTTTCCTCGCTCCACATCTTAACCCTCGGGGCCGAGTACTGCTCGAGGGCTGCACGAAATAGGGAATACTCCAGCGACTGCACCCTGGCCTGTGGGAGCGTGAGGACCTGGGAAGCTGCTGGAGGCAAGGAGATGTTCCAGGCTGACGTCAGCAACTTCTGGTCCAATGTAGGAGCCCCTTGACCCTGAGACCGGAGCAGCCTGTTCAGTGCACCATTAACAGACCTCTCCCAAGGCAGGCCCACATAGGCCTTACCTTGGAAGGAATCCCTTGGCACCCTCTCCCTGTGGCATTGCTGACAGTGCTGCTGGCTCATTACGAGTGCCATGAGCGGGGCTGACCTTGCTGGGGAAGGTTTCTGCATTGCTATGCACGATGATTTCACAATTAGCGACGCTGGCTACAAGTTCCCCACGTGTGGAAGTTAAAAGCTGAGGCATCAGATGAGCCCCCAGCTTCACGTGGGACTTTCTCTTATTCCAGCACCGGTTGAGGATGCTTGAGGCAAATCCAGTGTAGTTTATAGTTTGCTCTTAAATCTTTTCCTTGTGCTGGGGGGGCTGCCCAGCCTGAGCTCGGGTTTAGCAGTGGTGTTGGTTGCAGCGTTGCTTGGCTCGAGGCTGGAAGTCATGCTTTATAACCAAGCGTTTCTCGCAGGTAACCGGGGCAGGCGCTGCGCCTGCAGCTGCGGGACGGCTCCTGGGGGCGCCGGGCTCTGTGTGTGAGAGCTGGGGGCTCCCCCTCGCCCGCAGGGTCCCGGCAGGCGCTGGGGGACAAGGCTTTGCCTTTGCTCCGGCTCTGGAGCCCGGTGGCGCTCCGGGACCAGCGCAGCGAGCGGGGCTGCCAAGAGCTCCCCTGACACAGAGCCAAGCGTGCGGCAGCCCCGTGCTGGAGGCGCTGCTCGGTGCCGAGGTGCGTGCTGCAGCCCCGGTGCTTGTGTCCTGAGCCCTGCTCTGTTTGCCTGCCCCTGCTTTAGCACAACCGTCATTAGCTCCTGCTGCTCGAAGTCACCTTTCAGCCCAAGGGCTCCTGCCCCTGGTGTCCTGCTGAGCGCGTACGGAGCCTCCTGACCCGCTGCGGGCCGTTTCCTGACACCAAGGCAGGGTCCGACCGTGGATTTCACTGGAAACGAAAGCAGCAGCGGCAGCAGCAGGGCTCGAGCTGCGCGCACACCTGGGGTAACTGCACCTCATGCAGCAGAAGAGCATTTATTTGCTGTCCTTGAAGGAGACGGAGGTGGCTGCCCAGCTGTCCCTGTGCCTGGCTGCTGTAGCACCACGGCAGCCAGAAGGGACCTGATGGCACCGTGGGACATGGATATTTCAGAGGGAGGAGGAGACTCACCTTGAGAGCCGCCCTTCTGTCCACTGCGCATCTCACGTGGTCCTCGGGTTGTGCTGGAGCCCTTGGAGTTCACGCTGCTCAATGTCACCTGAGGATGTAAGAAGCCAAATCCGTCGGGCTCCCATCCTGCCCCCAGCAGCTGCCTCCAGATTAAGCCACCACAACCCTCCCGGGGCTTCAAACAGCCTCTGCTGGATTGGGGTGGGTGCCGCTTGCACCAGCCCCCGGGCAGCACAGGGAGAGAGGGTTTCTCACTGCCCCAAGGGCAAAGAACTGCTCCTGCCTTCAGCAGCGTCACCTCCCCGAGGTGGGCTCTGGCTCTGGGTCTGGTCTGGAGCCTCAGAGCACCCCCAGGCTGCTCCTCTGGGGCGTTTGGTGGCAGGAGCTTCACAGCTCGAGAAGCTGCGGCCGGGGTGCCCGTGGCCGCGGCAGCAGCTCCAGGACGCTGCCCACCACTGCCGGGGCTGCCCCGGTGTCTGGTGCTCAGCGGCCCAGGGAAGGGGGCACAAGGATGCGGTGGGTTCAGCGCTCTCCTCTCTCCACGCACGTTCTCCCCTTTCTGCCCTCGCTGTCCTTGCTCCTCGTGTGGATTTGGCACCGCTCCCCAGCACCTCCCTGTCATCAGGATCCCCTCAATTGCTGCTGCTTCACCTCCTCCCGCCGGGCTCCCCCCAGCCCCAGCGCTGACGGGAGCTCCCCCACCTCACCTGGGGTGACAACGACTGAGAGCCCTGTGCTGATGGATGTGGGCGCTGCAGGGATGCCGGTGGCTCCTGGGGACACCGCGGCACCGCTGGCACCCAGCACGGCCCCCATGACTGCGGGAGCTGCCCCAGGAGCGGCCGGGGTTTGGCTGGAGGAGTGCCCTGTGCCGCCTCATCCTGCCGAAGCAGGGCCCTGAGGGGTCTCAGGCTGCGATGTGGGCGCTGCGGAGCAGGCCCACGGCCGCCATCGCCCTCCATCCATCCCTCCAAGGGTCCGTCCATCCGCACAGGGCCCCGTGAGTCCGTCTTTCCATTGTTCAATCTCTTTTCCACACTCGGTGCCAAAGCCTCCCCGCTTGCTCCCGCACGCGCCAGTATATTTAGCTGCCTCTAAGCCTCTACCTTCCCTTATATAGGAGAGGCCAAACGAATTTCGCACTCTCATTATTAATAGCCCGAGAGGAGCTCTGAGGCGGCCAAAAATAGCAGGCAAACAGAGCGCACCCGGCGTGGGGAGGGCGCCGCGGAGCCGCCGGGACCGCCGCGGGAGGGACGCCGCTGCTTGTCCTGGCTTTTCCCTTTGGGAACCACTCTAAGGTGTCTCCCAGCCTCCTGCCCCCGCTGCAGCCCCGAGCCGCTGAGCCCCTCGCCCCGCCGGCTCTCTGCAGGCAGAGGTAGGCTGGGTGGGAGCCTGGGGACAGCGGGGGTACCCCTGGACCCCCGGGCTTTGCTGCTCTGGATGCTAAACCCGCTGCCCCACGGGTGCTGGGTTCGCCAGCCCGGGGATGCCCGTCCCTGTGCGGCGGCCCTCGGCTGGGGGAGCCCCTGAGGCTGCAGCAGTGACAGGTTTCACCCTCCCGAGTGCTGGGCCCAGCTCTGCCCATGGCACTGCTCCAGGACCCCCGCCGTGGCGCAGGGGACACGGGCAGGCAGCGGGGGCCGGGTTCTGCGCGCTGGTGACAGCCGGGTCCAGCAGGGAGATGGGTGCTCAGCAGGGCTCACCCGTGCAGCATCCCCGGAGCCGGGCACACCACGAGCCACGCGCTGGGGCACCGAGGCCGGGATGGGGCGTGCGAGGAGCGGTCTGCGGGGTGCCCAGCGAGCGGGGGTCCTCACCTGCACCCGGAGGCATCCGCATCCCAGGCAGGGGCTGCCTTAAATCCCTCCCTCCTTCCCTCCCTCCCTGGCGAGGAACTTCTCCCGCTGAACTGAGGATGCTGCAAGCTCCTGCGGACGAGCCGGAGCAGTCCTGTGGCAAAGTCAAGGCGAGCGGGGGAGCAGCGCGCTGGAGCCGGGTGTCCCCGCAGCCGCAGCCGGGCGATGTCACCTCCAGCGCCGTGAGTGACCGTGCGGGGCGTGCGGGGGGCAGCGGGGACCTCCCCGCCGGCAGCGTTTAACCTTCAGCGAGCCCCGAGCGGGCTGGGGCTGCCGCTGCCGCCCGGCTCCTGCCTGCAGCTCGGGGTGGGCAGGGAGGGGACCGGGGCCGCTGGGGTGAGCGCAGCTCCGGGCCAGCCCGGGAGGAGGAGTGAGGGCAGCAGCGAAGTCTGCGGGGCTGGGGGCACCCCCGGCAGGTCCTGGCAGCGGGCGCTGGGTGCTCGTGTCCGCGGGCAGCGGGGCAGAGCCTGGCCCATCTCCCGTGGGTCATCCCCTGCAGTGGGGCTCGGCCACACAAAGCAGGGGCAGCCCATGCCAGTGGGATGGGGCAGGAAGAGGAGCCCAGCTCCCGGGCATCCCAGCATCGCGGGTTGGACACAGGCAAGGAGAAGCCTGAGCACCGTGGCCGGGTGCACCAGGGCTCTACGGGCCATGTGCTGCAACGGGCAATGCCTGCAGGCAAAGGGGCACAGCGCAGGCAGGGTCCAGGGTGCTCCCCAGGCACCCTCCATCAGTGCTCCCCTTGCACCCACCTCCCTCCTCCTCGCTGGGCCTTGCGGTGCTGCTTTGAGCGGCTGCCGCAGTGGGTTCGCTGGGGATGGATGAGCCGGGGGGAGCCGCTCGGGGGGGCAGCGCTGAACAGGGAAACTTGGAAAGGCCCCTGCGAGGCAGCGACCGCAGAGCACGGCGCTGGGGGGAGCAGGGGGAAAAGCTGCTTCCTTTTATAGACAGGTTGGGGCTGTTGGGTGCTGTGCAGGCTCCCGGGTGCCACCACAGCCAGCCCCAGGCAGCACCCCCGGCTCCTCTGCCTGCCCCCTGCAAGAGCAAGGGCCCCCGGTGCCCACCAGCGCCCTGCCCGGAGCCCTTGGGGGTGCAGGAGGGAGCAGGGGCGCAGAGGAGCTGCGGGAGAGCCTCTGCTTGGGGCTGCGTCTGCAGCCGATAAGGGCAGCGCTGGGGCTGGGGGCTGCAGAGGGGCTTGTGCTGGTGACAGGGAACGGCTGGGCACGGGGGAGGTGGTGGGGGGCTGTGGGGCAGGGCAGGGGCGGCCTGGGCTGGGGGCGATGGGCACCCTGGATGCAGCAAATGTCCCGTTTGCTGGGGGCAGCCCAAGGTCACCAGGGGAGCCCGGCCGAGGGGTGCCCGGGGCCGTGCGCTGTGCGGACCCCCCTGAGCACTGGTACCTGCAGCTCTGCCATCCTGGGAGGCTGCCCAAGGTCAGCCGGGGCCCATGGAGCTGCTCCCCTCGGACAGGCTCTGCCCCTGCGCCAGGGACTTGGGTCCTGGGAGCTGCATCTCCCGGGGGGCCCCAGTGCCAGGTCCCCGTGTGGGAGGTCCTGGGGTGCTGGAGGAGCATCCCTGGGTCTGGGGCTGTGCTGGCAGCAGCCCTGTGCCCCATGGGGATGTCTGGGGGCTCCGGAGCCCATGGAGCAGCGTCTCTGCTGCCTGTGGCTGCTGTGAGCGTGCACTTGGCACCCACCGGCTTCTTGCAGGGAGCTCCAGCACGTGTGGCCGCAGCTCCCGGCGCTGAGTCACGGCCACGGTGTGTCCCTGCCGCGGTCCTGCTCCCCAGGCTGCGAGGGGACAGGCCTGGGAACCGCCATGGCACCGCTCCAGCCAGGGGCATAGGGGTGGGAAGGGCGCTCGGGACAGGGAGGCCGCAGTGGGATCAGGACTGATGGGGGGCAGAGCATGGCTGGGCTGTGGTGATGCTCGTGCCCTCCATCGCCCTGCCCTGGGCACTGTGCTGGGGCTGGGGAGCCCTCCCGCAGCCCCAGTAGGGTCTGAAGCCCCTGAGGTCTCAGCTGAGCCTCCCGTGGGCGATGGCACTTCCAGCCTCCCCTGCGCAGAGCTGCAGCATGGGAAGAGGGTGCCGGGTGCCCCCAGTGCTGGCCTCAGAGGCACTGAGATGCACCCGCTGCTCTGGTGCATGGGCTGGAGGACAGGGTGGTGTGGGGGGTCCTGGGGGCGCTGCAGGGTGCGGGGGGTGCAGCTGGAGCATCCTGACCCAGCACCACAGCCGCAGTGGGGACCCTGCCAAGATCCAGGGCCGATGGGGTCCCACGTCTGCGGGCTCACAGGACACAGCCCCATCTCAGTAGTGCCCCAGTGCCTGAGACCTGAGCCTCGGACACATCCTGGAGCACCCCAGCACCCGTGAAGGGCAGCCACCGCCCTGCAGTGCGTGCATCGCCAGCCTGAGCATCCTCCGGCCGGTGCGGAAGCCGCATCCCAGGCACGCGCGTTGGCCGCGGCCTTGTCCTGCTCCCCAGACGCGCAGCTCCCCCTGCTCCAGGGGGCAGTGCCACCACCAAGGGGGGATGTCCCCGGGGGCCGGAGATGCTTCACCACAGCCGCCGGCTCCTTCCAGCGTCCCGTCACCCGGAGCCGATGGTGTCCATCAGCCCCATGCTGCCCACCTCTCCCTCCCAACCCTACATACTTCTTCATATGCCCATATGGAGTCGGCCGGCGTTATGGAATGTTAAGAAGTATGTATCTTTGGGCTGGGACCCCCGCACCGGGTCCTTCCCCACCAGCACCGCCAGCACCGGCCTCCGGAGAGACGATGCATCCCTGGGGCTGGTCAAAAGGAACCAGATCAACTTGCAACTGGATTTGGTCCCCTTCAACCAGCTGCAGCGGCGCATGAGCCACGGCACCGCTGCCCCCTTGCTGAACGCGGGGGGGTGACTGCGAGCCCCGCGGCCCCATCCCATGGTGGGGTCCAGGGGGTGGAGGGGTCCCTGTGGGGGCAGCGCTGGGGTCCGGCCGCTGCGGACGGGGCAAACGCAGCTCCGCTGGCTCCGGTCCCGTCCCCGCCCCCGCTCCAGGGCCGGGACCCGGGAGCGGGGCTGGGAACTGGGGAAACCGAAACCCGTTCCCTGGGAATTCGCTGCGTGACGTCAGGCGCGGCCCCATCCCCGGCCCCATCCCCGGCCCCATCCCCGGCCCCATCCCCGGCCTCGGCGGCGCAGGGGCAGAGCCGTGGCGCTGGGACCCCGCGATGGGAACGAAACCCCCTTGTGGGGAGGGGGGGGATGAACAAAAGCTGTGGCTGCTCCCCCCACTGGGCTGGGCCCCAGCGACTGGGGGGAGGCTCCTGCGGGGCGGGGCAGGGGGCGGGGGCCCGGGCCCCGTTTGCTGCCTTAGGAAGGAGCTCTTTGTTCTCGCTCCCCGCAGCACCGAGCTCGGCCCCGCTCTCGCTCCAGCCATGGGTGAGCTGCGCGCGGGGGCAGCGCAGGGGGGCTCGGGGTGGGCGAGTGGGGTCTCGTGGGGCCGGGGACACAGGGATGCTCCGGTGGGCAGGGTTGCGGGGTCCCAGGGGTGCGGGAGCCCCTGGTATTGCTGCCAGCCCGGCGGATTGACAGCCCTCAATATCTCTGTTCCAGACCTTGTTGGCCCTGCCGTCGGGGCGGCCGTGGGGATCGGTAAGGCACCGGAGGCACGGGGATGGGTGTTGCTGCGTGGAAATGCGTCACTTCCCTGCTGCTCTGCGCACACAGACCCCTCCTGGGGGGGGGGTGCTGCCCCTTCCCCTTGGCCTGTCCCAGGGAGCCCGTGGATGCCCCAGGAAGGGAGGTTTGGCCACGGGACCCTGCACCGCTTTGGGCTGCCCCGGCGGAGCGGGAGCTCTGCCTCCAGCACCCCTCGCTTCAGGGCTGGGGGACACAGGAGTGAATCGGGGCTGGGGACAAGCGGGTGCCTGTGGGAGGTCATCGCTGCTGCTCTCCCGCGCAGGGATCTCCGTGGCTGTGTCCGTGGCCGTGTGGGCTCTGGGCTTCACCCCAGCCGGAATCGCAGCCAGATCCCTGGCCGCCAGGCTGATGTCTGTCACTGCCATAGCCAACGGTGGCGGTGTGTCTGCCAGGAGCCTGGTGGCCGTCTTGCAGTCGCTTGGTGAGTGCTCCTGGTGCGATGCTGGAGGGCAGCCAGGGCTGGTTTGGCTTCCCTGGGTGGTACCAGCTGCGTGGGGAGGGCTTGGGGTTGCCACAGGAGTGGGGGGACCTGGGGTCCCATCTGCTCGGGGTGCCCGTCGCTGCCCCACTGGTTGTGCTGGCCATGGGGACGCTGGATGGTGAGGTCTGGGGGCCTCCTCCAAGCGATGGGGCACAGTGGAGACCCCACGCCGTGGCTGGGAGGGCTCAGGCTGACTTCTCCTCCTCTTTCTCAGGGGCAGGAGGACTCCCCATGTCCGTGAAGACTGTGCTGCCAGCCCTGGGAGCTGTCATGGGGGCTATCGCATTCTGATCCCCCGCATGCCCACCGGGACCCTGACGATGCCTGCCGGGAGCCGCCCCCACCCGTCCCCACGCTGCGACCCCCTGCATCTCCCCCGTTCCGCTGTACCGGCTGGGTCTGACCCCGAATAAACGCCCCCAGGGCACAACTCCGCCGCCTCCACCTGGGCGTGACTCTGAGCGGGGACGGCCCCGGGGCGGGACGGGAAGGACCCGGCTCCAGCCCCGGCCCCATTTTGGGACTGGCGGGCAGGGAGGCATCATGGCGGGAGGTACGGCTGAGGGACACCCCGCGGTGCTTCCCTTCTCCCATCTCCCTTCTCGCATCTCCCATCTCCCTTCTCGCATCTCCCATCTCCCTTCTCGCATCTCCCATCTCCCTTCTCGCATCTCCCATCTCCCTTCTCGCATCTCCCATCTCCCTTCTCGCATCTCCCTTCTCCCATCTCCCTTCTCCCATCTCCCTTCTCCCATCTCCCATCATCTCCCATCTCCCATCATCTCCCATCTCCCATCATCTCCCTTCTCCCATCATCTCCCTTCTCCCATCATCTCCCTTCTCCCATCATCTCCCTTCTCCCATCATCTCCCTTCTCCCATCATCTCCCTTCTCCCATCATCTCCCTTCTCCCATCATCTCCCTTCTCCCATCATCTCCCTTCTCCCATCATCTCCCTTCTCCCATCATCTCCCTTCTCCCATCATCTCCCTTCTCCCATCATCTCCCTTCTCCCATCATCTCCCTTCTCCCATCATCTCCCTTCTCCCATCATCTCCCTTCTCCCATCATCTCCCTTCTCCCATCATCTCCCTTCTCCCATCATCTCCCTTCTCCCATCATCTCCCTTCTCCCATCATCTCCCTTCTCCCATCATCTCCCTTCTCCCATCATCTCCCTTCTCCCATCATCTCCCTTCTCCCATCATCTCCCTTCTCCCATCATCTATCTCCCTTCTCCCCCTTCCCAGTCCTGCCACTGGCCTCACCGCTGGTATCAGCCCTTTCTGAGGGCAGCTGAAGGGGGGAAGAGGCGGGCTGGGGGCAGCTGCAGCTGCCTGCCCTCCCCTGCCCTCCCCATGCCTTCCCCTTTAGCCATGGTGAGTAAACTGACGGGAGCAGTCATTGGAGCTGCAGCTGGAGCAGGTGAGGGGCAGGTGTCCGAGGACCCACGCTCGGGGTCGCTGCCCAGCTCCATCCCTGGGCTGGCAGCAGGGGATGGGGTCAGGCTGGGGGGGGGCTGCTGCGAGGGATGGGGCAGCAGTGGCCTGTGCCTGGAAACCAGCCTGCACCCGCTGCCGCAGCGCTGCCGGGCCTCGCCTCGCCGCCCTTTGCCTCCCTCTGCCCCCCCTTTGCTCTCCTCTCTCCTCTCATAGAATCAGCTACGTTGGAAGAGATCTCTCAGCTCATCCAGTCCAACCCAGCACTGCCAAGGCCGCCACTAACCCGTGGCACTGAGGGCCTCGTCCACATGGGTTTTGACCACTTCCAGGGGGGGTGACTCCACCACTGCCCTGGGCAGCCTGAGCGCGCTCTCCCTCCCCAGTCCCTCTCCTCTGTCCTCCCTGAGGATTGGGTGTCCCTGCACCTCGTGCCCCTACTCCCCACCCTGACACCTCTGTGCTTTCTGGGGGGCCGGGTCCGTGGTGCTGGTGGCAGGAGGAGATGCGCTCACCGAGGCCATGCTAAGCCTGCCGTGTCCTGCCTGCAGGAGTGGTGCTCATTGGCATCCCGGTGGCCGTCGGTGCGCTGGGCTTTACGTCAGCCGGCATCGCCGCCGGCTCCATTGCTGCCAAACTGATGTCGGCAGCTGCCATAGCCAACGGCGGGGGGGTGGCTGCCGGCAGCACCGTGGCCGTGCTGCAGTCCATCGGTGAGTGGGGAGGGCAGGGGTACGCGCTCGGGTTGTTGTAGAGCCGCAGCCGACCTTCAGCCCATCGCCGGTGTGAAATCACCCAGAACCGTGGGGAAGGGATGAATCCAGGATGTGGGGGGAAGAGTCGGGACGTGCTGGGTAGGGCACCAAGGCTGAGCACTCGGGGCTGTGCTGTAGGCATCTGCTCTTCTGGCAAGAGTAGTTCATCAACGGCGCTGGCCAGAGCCAGAAAGGGGCAGCAGAAAGGGGCTGGTTGCCCTCATGGAGCTGTGTGCGCTCCATAGTCCAGAGGGGTCCTTGGTTATCTCTGCCCTATGCTGGGTCCCTCAGTGGGCAGCATCAATGCTCTTGGAGCATCACACCTCGTTGTGTGTTTGCAGGAGCTGCAGGTTTGCCTCTTGCTGCCAAAATTGGGCTGACAACTATCCTGGGGCCATCAGGGGCAGCAATTGGTGCCACCTTGTCCAGGGGGAAGGAGAAGCCTCCAGGTGATGAAAACGAAGAAAGCCAAAACAGCGATGACGAGGATTCTGATGGCATGGCAGGCACTGGGTAGCCCCCAGAGACTTGCCCACCCTCATAAGAGCTGTGGCTAAGCTTGAGCAGTGAAACCAATAAAGGTGATGTGCAGGCAGGGGTGTTGTGGTGGTTGGTGTGCGGTTGGCATCCCGGTACCCATCAAGTGCCTCAGGATGTGCAGGGGTCCAGGCACAGATTCCAGCTGGAGTTTTTGTAGTGCTGCACTTCCTCCCCCAGACGGCTGTAGGTAGGTGTGTTATAAACTGTTTAATACACACAGTGGGGGTGATGGATGGCAGACTGGGCTGACACGTGCTGTGTCCTGTGCTGTGCCCCACGCGCACGTGAGCGAGGTTCTCGATGGCAACCAGCTGGTTTCAGTGGCTCTTCTCTGGAGTTAATTACCTGAGATAAGCACCAGTCAGGAGGTGGCCACAGCATTGCCCCACTGCTTCTGCCCTTCACACACCATCGTCCTTCATTGTACTTCCAATTTTCCCTTATTTTTTTTTCCCTAAAAACTACCCCCTCACCCCCCCAAATCTCTGCTTTTAAGCTCAGATTCCAACATGATGCAGGAAATGAGGATGTACTCTTTTATTAAGGTTAAAGGTTTTTAATCACTTTTCCAGAATACAGATACGATTCAAACAAAAACTATTTTTGGGGTCTCCATAATTCACTTATTAATACCATACATTGAACTCTATAAACTCTCATATAAGAAAAAGTCTTTTTCTTTTTTTTAATATAGGTTATGATGCACTGGTGACCTATTTAAATCTTTTGAAGTAACACTTTGCAGTTATATAGCACCTTTCATCACGGGGCTGCAAAGCATCCGACAGAATTTAGCCTCATAATGCCCAAACGAGGTAGGAAAGTCTGGCCAATTTACAGAGGGGTACAACCGAGGTACAGACTGGCAAGGGACGGAACATGAGGCTTCACTGGTACAACGGGAGTGAAGTGCCCGCTGGCCCCTGGGCTGTAGGATGAGTTGGTGGCTTAACTGGGGAGAAAGTCAGAAGTCATCACCCACACCCTCCTCTCAAGGCAGCAGCCGGGCTCCCAGCAGGTCAAGGCAGCCTCTCCAAAGGTCTGGCTTTTTGTGTTTCAGGTGTAGAAGAGACAACAGAGAGTCCAAGGCTCATAGGGCTAAGTCCCCTAGGTGTGCTGCTTGTTGGCGTGCCTGATAGCTGGCTATGAACCACAGAATTAACCTTGCTGTGGCTAAAGTGGTTGTTGCAGCCTCCCCATCCCTAAGTCTGAACAGCAGGAAGCTGGGCTGGATTTGTGTTAATGTGCACTCAGGATGCATTTTGAGATCTGGTGTTTGATGCTTTGTTTAGCTGGACTGTTTAACTGAGACAAACTCCCTTCTCCCTGTAAGCAGGCGATAATCTCAGCTATTTCAGGGTTTATTTCTTTAACAAAAAACATACCTCTGCTGAAAAACCATCAGCTTAGTGAATGTGATGTCCAATGGACACTAAGTTCTGCAGCTAGAGGAGTCCAAGATACCCAAGTTCCTTTGAGCCTTTCTGACTTTACAAACTATCCCAAACTCTACAACTCTCCCTTGGCCAGAGCTAGCACTCAGCTCTGTTAGGAATGTTCAAAACAGATGACATGTGGAAGCAAAAAGGGGAGAACCCGTTGTGCTGATGGAAGCAAAACTCCAACCTAGACAGTGAGCACGGTGCTGGTGGGTTGAGAAGAGCATTGTATGGATTTTAAAGGCGAGCATTTGTTCTGCTTGCTTGTTTTTAAGGCAACAGTGAAACTTGCTCAAGGGACTGAGAAGAGTTACTGAGATTGTTACCAAAACCTGAAGACTTTATTGCACATTCAGAGTCCCTTCTGTGCCCCTGGCACTAAACCAGCACCGGTGGAGCCTCGCCGCTGCGGGAGCACACCCCGGGGAAACACGAAATGAGCCTTTGCTGCTGTTTCATTTCAAGCCTCTGAGGAGGTGACTGCCAGAGAAATCCAGGGGTTTCTTTTAGACAGTGGTTGGCAGAGTAATTTGTAAGGTAATTCAATCTGCACTTAATTCTGTGGTGCTCAGCATGCGCCGTTTCCTCTTCTAGTCAACCGAAGGCAGGAGAGAGCAGCAGGTTTGCAGCGAGCACCTCTCGCAGGGAGAACTGCCAGGTCATAGAACCATAGAATAGAATCATAGTAGTTAGGGATGGAAAGGAAACAGCCACATTCCAGAAGCACTTTAAACAAAGATCTCTGCAAAAATCCAAAGAGCCAGCACTGAGAACACGCGTGGTGAGGAGTAACGTGGCATACCCGCTGCCAGGCTCCCAAACCAGGCTGCAGAGCTGTGCCATGAAGGGGTTAAACATGTGTCTTGCAGTGGGACAGCACAGAGGTAGAAACCCTGTTAGCAGGAAGCATCCTCTTCAATTCTTCTTTCTTATTTCTCTGTCCACCCTGAGACTACAGCCTGATTTGCTCCTTAAAAGAGTATTTCAAATAATAAATGCTGTTGCATGGTCAGCAAATCATTGGGATCTATTGATTATGAACAACTTAAGTGCTCAGAACTTTGATCCTATGTGCAAAAATCTATTAATAATGTTAATCCTTCAAGGTAATCCATCTTGTAAATCAGTGTGAACTCCAGCCAGGCTGACCAGCAATTCCTCAAGAGGCAAAAATAGCCCAAGCACACCCTGGGCAACAAACACTGTGGCCAAAGGGCCTCCGAGCAGAAGGTATCTGACCAGGGAAATGAAACTGAAACTATTCCTTCTGCTAATCGTATCACTGAACTGAACTGAGCCCCTTCTCAGCTCAGAGCCATGACATAAAAGCAGTTAGCACAATGCTTTGCTTTCAACCAGTCAAGCTTAGAAGTTATTTATCTTTTCTCGCTGAGAGAGCACGAAAGGCAAATGTCTTTCATTCCAAGTACCTGGAAAAAATTGATGTACATGAAAGTGCTCACAAAGAAGAAAGAGTGAGGGACTTCAGAGGAAGAAAATGAGTAAGTTTCTCATAAGATACAAATATGCTACTTCATGGGAATATTTCTGTTAATGTCTAGTAAGTGAAAACTCAGATGTGGTATTGCTTTTTAGGCAATCTCAACCCAACCAAAGCCTGCCCCCCCCCCCCCCCCCCCCAACAGCTTATCCTAACTGCTCCCTTGCTTATTCCCTGGAGGGGAGGAATGTCAGGGAAGGAGGGAGTGAGAAATCAGCCAAAGGGATGCCCAAGAAGTACGGAATTCCCAGATCCCTTCCCTCTCCTACTGCCAAGGTTCGTGTGCAACAAACACAGCTCAGACTTCTTCAGTCCCCTACAGACATGCAAACTAATCCTTCCACAATGATTTGGTTTTCCCTGAAACGTTCTATCAGCCATTCCAATCCAAAACACTGTGCCTGCTATTTCGCTATTTAACTCTGGGGAGGGACAGGTTAGTGTTCATGGAACAAGACACGAGCCTGCAGGAGCATCCCTGAGCTCCAAGAGCTTGGGTAGTTCACTGGCAGGGTATGTATTATGGACTGCTAGGCCAGGACGTGGAGAAAGCAGCATCTTTGATCAGAAATGACAGACACAGATGGGCTTTGATCAGACAGAATCAGGGGCAGGTTTACTTTTCACATAGTTTTCTGTATTAAAAAATACATCAGTGAAATCTGTTACAGGCAGGGACAGGACTACCGAGTACACGACGTCAATAGACTACTTTCTGATTTTATTTTTTGTTAAATTACTTCTGTTACTGCTAAAAAAATAATTAAAAAACCAAACAAAACCAAACAAAAAAAAAAAAAAAGGAAACAGAATTCAAGGCTGTTGATTTTCATCTCTTGAAATTTTAGTGACAAGATCAAATATCAGACCCCTGTTACAGAAGATGACCGGAGCTACATCAAAACCATACAATTCTCTTCTTTAAAAATAGTTTGGGTTTCCAGTGAATTTGTGACCACTGGTCACCAGAAACACACATCTATAGCTTGAGAAAAGGGGAGCTACAGACAGTATCTGATAATGTCCTGTCCTTCAAACACAACGTGGGAGCTTTTCTCTTCCAAAAGACGCAGTAACAGCCAAGCCTTAAAAAAATCTCTTGATTTCCAACACTATGACTAAATCTCTTTGGGTGGGGTGGGAAAAAAACACACATGGTAATTTTCTACCACAGTTCAGTTGTCAAAAGTAATACTGCATCCTTTGCACAACACTGCACGCGTTGCAAAGGCGGAAAGAGTGAGCGTATCTTCCATTTGAAATGACAAGGCCCTCCAGATTTGCCTTATAAAATAACCAAAACCATTGGAGTAGGGAAAGAGGAGAAAGGAAAGCTGCCTTAAGGGAAAAACAATTTCCGCGCACCACAGTATTTGCTAGATTATATCAACAGACTGCAGAGCTACTGGGCTAGGGAAGGGATTTCTGCACATACCCCAGGACAGTCACTCTCCTGTACATACCCCAGAAATGTTCATCCCGTAACATGATCCCTCTGAAGTTGGACCTACAGCACCTCTTCCGCATCGAAGACCAAACAGAGCTAAGAGCTGGAATTGGCCTGGACCGAGAGCTAGATTCTGGCATCGTGTGACCCATTTAACAGCAGCCAGACAGTTGTCCCTTTAGACAGCCAGTGGCTTCTGCCTTCCTACCGCTTGATCCCAGTTTCCAAAGGAAAACAACTATAAAAGCATGTGTAGGTGTATTTATAATGGAAGGTGTCTGCCTGAGCACCACCACTTCCTCTCCTGGCCTCGTGAAGAGCTCTAGGAGCTCCACGCGTTCTTTGGCAGCAAGGACTGCCAGCCACCAGGCTGAGAAGTCACGTGAGCCACAGTCTAGCTCTCCATGCCCAACATTGTTATGGTAGGTTTCACACAACCCTTTTCCTTTAAAATATCTCACAACTGTTTTAAATCCTGAACAGATAAAGGATTTATGCACCACTCAAAATAGGTTAGTTCATCTGGAATTTGTTCAGAGGATTTAGCGGTGCCACAGGATGTTGGTTTTTGCAGCTTACACAGCTTGCTTCCTTCCAGTTCCAGTTTGTACATCCACTGTGATTCAAAATATGCCTGTAGGTGACATTATCTTGGCTTTTTTTGATACACATTTTCCAAAGGCTGGACGTATTCACAGTTTGGTGCTTCTGGTGTGTAGTCAAAGGAAAATACCCCACCTCAGTTAGTCTGATAACTCAATATCAGAGTCCTCTGATTTGACTTTGGCAAGTTCTTCGTGTACCTCCCTCACCATAAGAATACGTGTTAACATGATGTCCAAGGTTCCTGGGTCTATTGGCAATGTGGAATACCACATGGGGCTATTGGGTACACAGGAGCGCTCAGGTTGAAGGTAAAATACATCGCTTCTCTGCTTCACACTTTCAGAACTGTCAACATAAAGAAAGCAGGAGCACGTTATCGAAAGGCAGCATCAACAGTCCTGCTCACAAAGACGGGCAGGAGAGACAGCAAAGAAAATGAAAGTTACACTGAGATGATGACACTAATCTGAACAGCCTAATTAAAATCTCCTTGTTAGTGACTTGGCTTCCCCCCTTCTATGCAGGGAACAGTTAACTTGTTTCCAGGTCACTTAGCATTAGAAACAAAGAAAATTATAGAGACTCCTTGACAGATGTGGTTCTTCAATGTATCATACAATTAATTGTACTAGCATCTTGATACAATTGATAGATGCATTTGACAGTCAATCTCTGAACAAAAGGGGTTCTAGTTTTCCAGAACTGCTGTGCAATTCCACACAGGGAATTTTCAAGAGCTAGTAAAACTAAATCCTAGCTGGCCTGCTCATGGTGAGGAATGGTAAGCCCATCTGCTTGAAAGACTGGCTCTGAGGCAGCTTTCAGGCTCTGGTAGGAAGACACAAAACCCTCTAGAACAAGGATCCCTCCTGCCTGGTTTTGGAATATTCACGTTAAAACAGCAAAGTGAATTTTTACTGCTGCTTGCACCACTGCAGGGGCTCAGCTGTAATATATGAGGAGCATGATAATGCCCAAGGACAGCCCAAGGACAGCTAAGAGTTTCTAATGATATGCAAGTGAAGCCAAGGGAGATAAGAAGAGGGAGACAAAGAGTCGGGACAGCTGCTATGCACATCTTTCCTAAATAATGGAACTATCTGTAGTAAGCTCAGTAGGTGCATTTTTGATGGTGATTTATTTAAATTTTAGTTGACACTAATGAGATGCTGTTTCATTTTTCATGTGTATTTTCTTTGAAAAGAGAAGAACATCATATTCCACCTGCTCAATGATCTATTGGAAGTTTATACAGAAGGAGGCGACTCCTATCTATGTCCTTGCTATACAGTCTTCTTTCTAACTTCTAAATACAAGTTAATCTCACATTTCAGCAGGTAAAAGCTATCAATCAGCAGTTTTACCTAATTCACACTTTTCCTACCCTCTTTCACATGATGGCAGGATATTAGTTAGAATCATCTCAAAAGAAGGATCCTGTATGGGAATTAAAGGATGTAAGAATGCCACGGTCACTGTAGTAATGCCCTCCATTTACATTTATACCCAGTGGATGTGTAAAGAGGCATTTAAAGAACACATCCCTCTCTAACTCTACTCTTGACTCAATACCAGTAACAAATACTGCTAACAGCAGTGCTGACGCTGGAAGTGCTATCACCATGATTCCATTCACACTGAGAGACCAGGAACTGCAGAGAGGAACCCACAGCACAGGCACAAAAGTTCTGAGTAGGACCTTTGCCCAAATGCCTGTTCTAATCTATACACAGATCAAAAATCAGGTTGTGTCACTTACCATTTTGATAAGTAAAATTCGTAAAGTCGGACTGGACATCGCAGGGGATTATCCGAATTTTCAGCCATTTCCACTGCTGCTGGAATCTCCTCATCTTCACTGCGTTTCCTTTTGCCTACAGATAATTTATCTGGATACACAAAAAGGGCATCACAGAAGTTCAGTGAAAAACAGCACCTCAAAAAAAAAAAGGAACAGACAATGCAAATATAATTGCCAAAACAGAGGCACCCACCTGATTCTACCTCTTGTTTTTGAAAGGGTGGGAAAAAACGTAAATATGTCATCTTAGTATTATACTTCAGAGTTCGGGTGCGCCTCATAACATGGGCAAAGGACAGTTTCAGGTGCTCACTGACATTCTTTAACTGGAAGTATTTGGTGTTGAAGAACAGAAGCGTGTTCAATAAGACAATAGGGGAATATGCACCCAGCTGTTTACATTCCCACAAGTGTTCCTCTTCAATTCTTGAGAACATATAACCTAGAAACAGTGGGCAAAGAAAAAAGAAGAGTGTTATTTATGCAGTTTTAGGCTGTCCTTACATTCAGTTACAAATGAACAGCTTTTACAGGCTGTGTTTAATCTAGAAGATTTTCAGGCTTTTTCCCAAAGCAATGGAAACATCATATATGAGCAGGGTGGGAAGGCAGAAATGAGTACAATTGAGGAGGCAGATTTTGCCAGAGATGCATGTAAGTCCTCTTTCAGCTAATCTTCTACCTTAATGAACTGCAAATTCAGAGCTATCATAAACAATTGTTAATACCAATAAACCCAAGAACACTGCATGCACAAACATAAGAGGGAGCATGGAGAACCGCATGAACTTCCAATACCTGAAGAATGGAGATAAGGCTATAAAGGAAGATTGCAGACACCAGCAGAATCTCACTAAGTTCTGCTTTCACTGTATTAAATCACAGTCAGCCAACTGCAAAAATGTATAATTCCTAAGATGTGGAGCATGACTTTAAATTGTACCATCTTTATATACAAATAGACCATTGTGATTATCGTAAGTCAGTTAGGAAAAGGACATATGGGGGGTTAGAAGACATTTGTAGTGAAAAAATCCCAAGTCCCAGCACTGTATGCAGCACTCTGTGAGTAACTGGATTATTTCTGTACTAAAGAAAAAGTTCGTTTTCTAAATGGATACACGTATGGAATTGCCAACATCACTCAAGTTTCACTGGTACTCTGAAAAAAGATCTTACATACTAATAGAGCTGGTGTCCAACTTGATAAACTGCATGGACCATAAAACTTGAGGGAAGAGAAGAACTAGCATGTTGACTACCAGAATGGAAAGCTTTTCTTTCAATGGAGTTGAGAGATTGATCAAAGGCAGAGATACAGTTAAGTGTGGTCCATGACTGGTAGAGACAGACATGAAATCCATGATGCTAGTCTACCACAAACAAGAACATGGTGGACAAAGAGGAGACTATGGTGAATGCTGCTTCATGGCACTGAGAAAATATTAGTTTATCATAAGGCTTTGTCATGCAGCTACACAAAACAAAATAATTGTCCTACCATTTGGAAGAATTGTAGGTTCCCAGATTTTCAAAAGTTTTGTAAGTTCAATCATAAACCTGGAATAGGGCTCGGTAAAAATGTTATCTATTCTACCATTCTCAAACAGGTACTACAAGAGAAAAAAAGGAAGACATACAGTTTGCGATTATATATAACATTGCAGAGAAGATACAGGACATCAGAGTCTTTTCCTTTCTTATGTCCCAATGTCTCATGGTCCAAAAACCTTTACTGAAGTCTTCAGTGAGATATCAACTCAAACTTTCTGCAGGGACAGGGACCTCCCCAGTATGAAATGAGAGATCTGAGCAAGAATTATTGCTAATATTCCAAGCTCTAGAGCTCTATTCTGAAAAATCATCACCCTCTGTTAAATACTCTTGAAAAAAGTCTGTCTAGAAAACCCAGAAGAGTTACTGAGTATTTATGTGTTGAAAAGAGCTTCACATGCTACCACCTCCTGACAATAGACACAGGCAGAGCGCTAGGCTGCTGAAACAGCTCAACTTACAGCATCAAGACAAAGCCCCTTAAACTCTTGTCAGGCAGCATTTAAAAGAAGTTTTCTACAAGTCAGGAGTTTGTATCAATAAATACATCAAAACTGGAACACAAAAACATTGCTGATCCTCCCAGACCTTATTAATGCCTAGTCAAACGATAGGTTTTACAGCAGAAGTAGCTTTTGAGTTCTCATTTCCAAATGAGTGTTCAAGGAAAGGAACAGGCAGACTATTTTAAAAACAAAGCCACTAACAGAAAACTACTGAATACTGAGCTTTTAACAGAAGTTAATATTATACTAGGTTTGTCCTGCAACTGTTTCAAGGCAGGCAGTAAGGACTTAGCAGATGACCTTCAGCATTCATTAATTTCAGTGCACTTATTCCCATTGTACTTTTTCTTTATTTTGCCAACACAGCAGGTACCTGTCTGGCCACTGAAGGAGCTCAGTCTTTGCTGAGTAACCTCTTCCTTGCATGTTAGAGAGCAACTCTTTGAGATCTAACATTCCATCATAAAGCAAGTATTTCTGAGGAGCAAATCTTTCCTATACATGAAAACCGATCAAAAAGATACCAAGTCTAAAGATTTGTGCCTAGGTAGAAACACCTTGCCCTCCATGCCACATTCCTCCCAAGTATAGAAGAAGCCTGTTCATTTTGATCATAAAAAGGTCCAGAAAAATTAGTCCAATGTGGGATTAAGACAAGAATAAAGCACAAAACCGATACATTCTTGCCTCCTCTACAAAAAACAAGCAGCTACATGGGACTATGAATATAAAGCATAAATAACCAGGGCAAGTTCTGCATGTTCCCAGCAATACCCTAATTGTCTGAGTTACCTGCTGAATTCCAAGGCACAAGTATAAGATGCTGTCAGGATCATATTTTTCTCCATTTGGTCTCCGCACCTCTTGAATAAACTGGCACAAGCCAAAACTCAGCTCAGCAAAAGTGCATGAGAGAATGTCCTCCTTGAGCTTCACAGGGCGAACTGTGGCCAAGAAAGTGGTTAGAAAAATTAACTTAATTCAAAGGTTAAATCTTCACGCATTCCTTGTTATTTGTTGTAGGAACTATTAAATCTTCTATAGTATAGAACTATTAAATCTCCTATCTTGTACCTTGTATGAGTAAACTTGTGAAATATTTCATATCTGCGGGTTAACAACAATGAGGATTTGGCCAATAAAAGCCAAACCACCTGCATGTGCAACCAGCACAAACACTACAAGTGACTAACAAGGCTGCAGGTATTTAAAGCTGAAGTTAGGCAGTGTGCTAAACCCAAAGACGCAGCGTGGCAATGACTGCATGCACATGAGGCTGGCAGCGGAGGGTTAATAAGTAGGTTTCACCTCCGCAGCTGGACTCAGGGGAATCCTGAGTGAGAGCAAGATCTTGAGTATTTCCTAATAGTTCTGGACATGAGTTAAGTGCAGGGAGATGGAATGAAGAATTTAATGGGACATGCGTGGGATTTGGCAAGAGAAGCAGAGCAACCAGGGAACTGACCAAAGGATCTGCAAGGAAATTACCAGGTTTGGGCACTCCACAACTTACAGAAGTGCCTGCTTGGGACTAACAAGGGAACCTTGCTGGGAGGGGATGTGATGGACACAGTTTCCTGGAACTGACTGTTACTATTTGCTTCCTTAGCCACAAGAAGAAAACACAGTAACTCATGTGATTACTCTTCTTCTGGGAAACAAAACCCAGCTGTTCTCATGTAATGACAACACAAATTCCATGTAAGAGCAAAAAGCAGATCTCGTTCTAACTCGAATTTTTCCCTCTGGGATCTTTCTTATATAAGTCCTGCCACAGTCAGTCCTTCACATTGCAGAGGTATTTAATACTGTTTGCTCTCTTCCCCACCACCCTCAAGAAGCTCCATTATATTCCTCACTGAAATTCTCTGCTAGACTCTGAAAAATGTGCCCACAAAACTCTTAGGGCAAACACATAAGACAGATCTGAGACTGGGGAATAGAGGACTTGGACACTGCCAAGCCCCAGGACTGCTGGCTTGTGTAAGGAAAAAAGTAATTCGTAAGTAGAAAGAAAAAACAAAGTGACATTTATATTGCCATTATCATCTATCACCCTGGTGAGACGCAAGGAACAAGTTGTGCCTTTTAAAGTTAGTTTCAGCCAGGTTGCAGCGCAGACTAGGTGGACTTTGGAAAGTTTCTTTCCAGTTCTAAAGCCCAGAAACAAGCTGTTTTTCATGTTGCAGCACAGAGTTTTCTTACAGCAAACCGTTCTGCTGACAAACAAATACTTTGTGCATGTGTTAGCTACAGAGGAAAAGATGGAGCCAAGTTGGCGTTGTCAACTTAGAACTATGGCCTGATAATAACTGACTAGAGCTCTGCAGCTGCCTAGAGCAGCCCTTCTACAACTGAAGAATTACTACATTCAAATGAACATGAAGTGGAGGTTAAAAGAGTAACATTTCTAATACTGAAAAGGAATCTGGTATTTTAGAGCCTGTTACAATAGATAACAGATCAATTAAGAATGTAATAGCCATGTTTTTTTAATTCCTGAGAAGACATAAGACAGTATTCCATAAAATCTTTCCTCCACCCATGGATACTTTAAAGCTCAGTAATACCTAACCCCAACTGCTATTTGAGCAACGTTCCATGCCAAGTGCTCTTCAGCTAAGTATTTGTTTCCATGGAGAGAGAATTTACCTGAAAACTTCAGGTCCCCTTGTTCCTCCTGTGCATTTTTCCATTGGACCCAGTTTTTCCAGGCATTTACCCCATACATATACTTTAAGGTCATCCCAGAAACAGAGCATCCTGCATAGGAGCCCTGCATCAGATTCCGGGGCTCTACAGAAACAACAGACTTCTTCCGACCCTACAGGCAAAGGCCAGAACAAATCAACATTTAGTAAGCACTTTGTCTATGGATGCTTAACTTGATCTCATATCAAAAGGCTGTTATACTGACAGGATAACAAAATCCTACTCTCATGACAGAATCTGAACTGATATGTGTGCATTTTTACTATGTGGACAAATATTAACCACGTTTGACAGATAAGGTGCAATAAAATACAATTCTCACTGTGATAAATATGCACAGAAATTTGTTCTGCTCTAGCTACACAAGCAAAAATTGAGTCTTTCCTGTAGGTTATGACTGCACTTAAAAGACATCACTTTTGGAATTTTTTGAAAGATATAAAAAATGTTCTGCACTAAAAAGAGCACTTATTCTACCTAGCTGTGGGGAGGGAGAAAATCTTATATAGCTGAACAAGAAAAAATATACAGCATAGTTAAATCGAATTCTCATTTTCACCCTGGAGCAGTATTTATTTACTTTTGAGAATAGGCATACACATGATGATATTACTTCAAATGGAAGGAACTTGTGTTCCAGAAGTACTTTCTTACCCGTCTTTTTGGCTGTGGGAAGCCATCTCTGTGTCTCCGTCTTGCTCGTGAACGTGAATGCAAACCCAGTCCTTTACTGAGAGGGTCAAATGAGTCTGAAGTCAAATCAACACCATTAAGAGTTTAATTGTACGATTTAACAGCCCAGGTAGAAGTATCACGTAAATACTATGGAGTACTTTTACAGCTGACAATGACACCTGTATGTTCAAATAGTGATTTACCTCTGAACAGCTACACAACCCATGTACCTTCTGTATATAGTAAATTCACAGAAAAGGGAAAAGGCCTCCTCAGCAGGTGTACTCGTTCAGGCAAACATTCTTACGCAGCTCTCAGATTACATTTAACCTGCCAGAGGGGAGACTGAGATGAGCTCTTAGGCAGAAGCTCTTCCCTGTGAGGGTGCTGAGGCGCTGGCACAGGGTGCCCAGAGAAGCTGTGGCTGCCCCATCCCTGGCGGTGTTCAAGGTCAGGTTGGACACAGGGGCTTGGAGCAAGCTGCTCCAGTGGAAGGGGTCCCTGCCCATGGCAGAGGTTGGAACTGGGTGAGCTTTAAGGTCCCTTCCAACCAAACCATTCTACGATTATATCTAGGGACACAGAAGGGATAAATTCAAAGAAGTCAAGCAAGGCTACCTGCTACTCCTGTCAGAGGTTCTGTAGAACACCATCTTTAAAGACAACAGCAGTATTTTAAATCCAGTAATTTTTTTACTGCAGCTTTAAATATCCAGTTTTACTACATGAAAACTCAAATCCTTCACAAGCAGGCTGCTGGTACAATGCTTACTCAGAAAATCTGTGTACTTTTATACAACAATGCATTTTTATTCACATTATACTGACCTGATGGAAAATCAGCCTCCAGGTCCTGTTCCACATCACCTTTGGAGAACTGCTTCAGTTCTGGATCTGGTTCTGGCAGGGCATTTGATCGTAAGGCATAGTGATTCAACTCATCCTCCCAGCTGTGTGGAGTGGACACCGCTTCTGATTCTAGATCTCCACTGTAAGTGCTACCTTGGTCTGTAATGACAACAATCAGATATTTCATGGGTAGGGGCAGACAAAAAGAGGAGTTTGTAAGAAAAGAGACTGCAGGATCAAAATCCATTTACAAAAAAAATCCTACTGACCTTTCTCAAATATCTTGGGGTCGAGGAAGAGCTCATGCTCAGACGTCTGAGATCCTTTGGAAAAAGAAGAAAACCTGTATCTACAAATGACTGACAGCTTACACAACTAATACAAAATACTTTGAACACCAAAAATCTATGTATTAGGTCATAACACTAACACATGTGATGTGTCCCCTTCTCCACTACAGTTCTCTTAACAGCTTTCTACCTTGGTCATGCTGTTACAGAAGAAACAGGAATGCAGAACTAACCTATACTTGCTTTTCCAAACATTTCCATCCCTCCATGTTTGTTATTTGAGCCATTTTAGACAAGATATTTTGTTTATTTTTCAGCTTGTTCCACATTTATTGAACGGGATAACCACTGTTCAACACAGTCTAACCTGCAACACCCTCCAAGAATCAACCGTAAGAAGCCTGATAGGAAAATATTCTTTTAATGCAGATGCTTTGTCTTCTTGATTTTGACTCCTCCTAATGCACGATGATAATACCTCTAGCAACCTGTTACTGTCAACAGAAGTATCACTACTGAATGTTGACTGATAAACCTTTGTGAAATTACAAAAGCTTCAGGAAGGTGCAACTATAGCCAGCACCTTTTAAAAACATCACATACCACCATGAGAGTGTGTTTTTTCTTTCTCCTCATCTTCTGCAATCATTTCTGCCATCTGAAGGAGGTCAGCTTCAAATGGGTTTGTGGGAATCTTTTCCTTTATATCCTGAATAGTTTCAATGATCTTATCAGCATTATCCAGGGTAGTTGGGAAGAGCATGGGAACTGGTACCTATGGAACATGTGGAAAACATTAGATTGATAGATTAGACTGATTAGACAGCTTGTTTGGGGGTGAAGGGAAACAGCAAATACACAAGGAAGGTTCATCTCATTTAATCTTATACATATTTTAAGACTACTGGATTTAACTTTAAAATCATTCCAGACTGGACAACTTGTTTCATTTCTGCAATAACCCTACAAACTGGTAGTTCTGTATAATGATGATCAATCAAATGCGATGTGATAAAGAAAGAAAATGGTTTCAAGGACTTCAAATACCACTTGCATGACTAGTCTCAAAACCCAATGACACTGCTCTGTCCTGTTCAGGAACAAGACTGTAACAACTTCTCTAGTGAACTGAAGTATGACTTACAGGTACTGGCATCCCAAGTGGAACTGGTGTGTACTGAGTGTAGAGGTGAAGGGGCACTGGCACAAACACTGGCACAGGGACAGGTACCACAATGATCTGGGGTTGAACAACTTCTTCTTCTGTTATACCAAAAATAGAACAAAAAAATTGCTTAAAGATATGACCACTAGGTACACTCCAGAGTGTGCAGAAGACTCATCACACATGAACCTTCATGGATTTCAATGAATAGGAAATGTCTTGTAACTGCAACTTGGAAAATACCATACAACAAAATGAAAACAGTTTAAGGTCTTAAAATACAGTTTTAAATACTCTCTCTCTGTTACGTAAATCACACATTGCTCTCTCAACTGCAATACAGACTTCTATAAAACAGGTAGATTAGATACATACCTGTCTGGCATTCTTTGTTCTGTGTGTGGGGTTTGCATGAGGTGGCCTTAGTCTGTGTGATTGGCTTGCACAACAATGCTTTGTTTTTGAGAAGCCGAGGTGGTTGTGATGATGGCAGCTTTAGGGCATCTGTCTGAGTACTGGCCTGTTTGGAAAAATACATGAGGACAGAGTCAATATTGGTTTGATGGATATCGTAAGATTTGTATTTGCTCTCTACTATGGGAGATTGAGCAATCTAAAACTCCCCTTGGTGACAAAAATGATCATTTAAAAACCATTGCAAACCCAGCTTGCTAATGATGTATTTCAAGCCCCAGCAGCCTATGCTGGTCCCCTTCCTCCTGCGCTATTCCTCTTGACATCACATCCCATTTCTGGGCACTGAAGGTGGCCTCGAGTACAGAAGCCACACATGAATTGCTTGAGAACTACAGGCATCTCAAGAGCTACAGTTTGACAAGCTTTGTCTTAAAACTTCTAACCAGGCTGTCAGTAGACACAGAAAGACTTTTATACTGTACAAGTTCTATCCATTAGTTCAAAAGCACACCTGCAAGCTCAATGCCTTTTAAATTCCAGTCATAACCAGGAAAAGCAGTTACAAAATGTCAGTGTGAAATTCTTGGATACTTTACTTGTTATTGATACAATCTGGGCGAAAGTGAGAAAAAGAGGCTCTCCTAAAACTTACATCTCCTATTATTTTTGCTGTCACAGTAGGGACTGCACCTGTGAAGGAAAAAAAACATACAATAGCCTGTGTACATCGAGGACCATAACCCATACTCTGCCAAGGTCAAGAAAAAGAACTCCCACTAAACCTCATTCCCTGGTGTATGTACATAAATGTAAGTCATTATTTAAATACGGGAAGACAAAACTTCAACTGTCTGCACTGATGTGAAGCAGAATGAGGAAGTGGCTCTTGTCCTCAGCTAGAAAAGGTCCTTGAGCAAATATCAATGTTCAAGAGTAGAGATTTAAAAATGCAGGTATGTGCAGCAGTCTTACCCTGTAAAACATTGTTGGAGTTAACTGTAGGCTGGGCAGCAGGGGTGCTTGCAAGGGACACCACATGTGCTATGACAGGAGTTGAGTCCTTTCTCAAAGAAGGAGGGCCTGATGAGGAAGCTGGTGCCATAGAAAGGTTTGCTGGACAGAATGAACATAAGAAAACTAAAATAAGCAGTAATTCATAAAAGAGCATTTCTGAAACAACATCCACCCTCCAGATTTATCTCCAAATGAAAAAGCCTGCTGCATGAGAAGGGAATGCAGGTGCCAAACTGCTGCGTTTCAGTGTAAATAGGAGCTGGCTCCACAAGCAAACTTTAGCTGTTTCCAGTCACTGGAACATTTCAGAAGTTCACCATAGGATAAAAGTGGCTTTCTCTTTCTAATACTATGTGTATTAGAGAAGCACTCAGGAGATAAAAGGACCGGATGCCTCACTGTGCTTGGTACAGAACATAAGTAGTACAGGAGACAGCTGAGATCCTGACAAATAATGAATGAGGTGAATTTTATGAGCCTCTCACAGGAATTCTTAGGTTCTTTCCATTTGAAAGCACCATTCACTAACACATCACCACACTTCATCCAACAAGACTGTTCTGAGGCACTCCATCACCCTGGAAGTCCCCAGGACAGAGAGATACCTGGAGACCAGTTTTGCACTTGCCTCAGCTGAGGCTGCAGGCCCACTTCTGCAGAAGCAAGCATCTTGCTCTCCTTAGTAAAGCCAAGTGTACTGACAAGATCAGGAATGTCACATTGTACAGTTATGGCTTGGAAGTATAAAGCTACTTATAAATTCTACTCTTATTGACGGAAAACAGCTCCCACTAATGTAAGCAGCAGATATGCACAAAGCCGAGGAGTTGAATACGGCCTGGTACACACTATAAACTTTCAGTTAATATTCTTTATTGCTTGTTGGGTACCTTACTGTTGCAGTCACCATCACTCAGTGGGAGATTATGCCCCTCTTTAGGATCAGTGCTATTTCTGCCCCTTGTTTCGCTTCCTCTTCCTGTCCTTATGGGCCTTTCTTCCTTTCTTCCCTTTGCATTTCATTCCCTACAGAAACTCATAGTTCCTATTCCTGTGGGCTTCATTCCCACCCTCCTTCCCATTCTATCTGTGAAAATAACGAGCAAGGAAACAGCTATTGCACACATGAATCTTGGCATTGGTACTTCAAGAATCAACAGTTACTGACACAGAAGTGGTAACTCCTCATATGCCTACAGGCTACACAGAACCAGCTATTTAAAGTGCAGAGATGGAAATCTGTATTTACAACTGTTAAGTCTACTAATTTCACCACTTGATTTTTTTTTTTGTTGAATGAACATTAACATCCTACCATATCTGGCTATGTGGTGTCAAGCACAGGAGACAAGTAGGTATTGACTATGTCTTCAACAAGTTTCAGTACATTTTACCCATAAACTGTGTTTTATGAAAGTGTCTGAAAAGAAAGTGCTTTCGTTTCTTCTCAACCCCCCAGTAAAAGATACATCTTTAAAAGTTCACTGAATCCAGTTTCCAAATACATTTCCATATCACTATCATGCACACCAAAAGACAATAGTATCCCTAGCCTGTTTTACCTGTGTTGTTTGGGGGTGGAGGGTCAGAAGCAATTTGCTGCTTACAGAACAACAGAATACAAAGCAGATTACAAAAATGCTTGATTTCCCCATGCCATTTCATGGACTCACTGAGTTTACCTTGTCTCTTACAACCATCGCACTTTGCCATCTAGGAAAAAAAGTGAGGGAGAAATTAAACACACTTGTGAAGAGCAACAAAGTGTATAAAAACCCCTTTGCACCCTGCTCAGCAAATACAGCATGAAGAAATCTGTTAGGGTGCATCATTTTTGCAGGGTAACATATAGCAACACAGCATTCAGTATCTACCTTCCCACAACCTGTATGACATTTTCTCTACATAGAAAACTGGTCCTCAAAAGTTTAGAAGGATTTACTCATCTCTCACATACATACAACATACTCCCATGGACACAGAACTCAACTACAGATAGTTCACATAGTTCCTGATGTACAAATGTTCTTTTACTAACATATTTCTTTCCAGAGGTTGCTATGTGAGAATATTGCTTACCTGGTAAAACAAAACTGTGAATTTAGACATGCACTCCTCAGAGCAAAATTCCTCCATTTTCCCCCCAAAGAGATTCTGGACCAGTTTAGGGGAAGCCTGTAAACAGTAACTGCACATTTTACAGTGGTTTCCCCAGCGCTTAGCCAAGTCATGCTTATAGAGCAGTTTACAACCTAAAAGAAGAGAAAATAGCAAAAAAAACCCAAAAAACATCCTTTAATATCAAAATGACATTTGCTCAGCAGCTCTAGTTCTTGTGTTTAGTTATGTCTGTAATAATGTTGAAAGATTAAAACATATAGTGTGGACAAAGTTGGGTGTTTCTAAACGTAAAACATTCCCAGTTTTCTAACCTAAAAAGATTAGGTTTCTCTTATCACCAGTAATTTTAAGACAAAACACTTCTGACTTGATTTGTGTGAGACACAGTGCTGCCCTTCCTTACCTTCACTACAGAACGCTTTGTCTACGCCTGAGAATCGCACTGTCTCCTTGATAATCTTCTCAATTTTGCAGTATTCACACATTGCCATTACACTGCTCTTCTTCTTATATTCATCACAGCAGGTCTTCCCACAGAACTGGAACATTTTACCCTGCACCACAGCCAGAATGTTTCGAGTTTAATGTTTCTATGTTTCACATTCCAAATCATACAGTTTAATCGTTAATAAAAGCTCAGAAGCATAATCATGCCCTTGGAAATCAACAACGGACAGCAAATAAGCCCCCTCATTTAGCTTTATAACAAATACAGCAAATTTTCTGCAGAAAGCCTTCAACAACCTGCTCTGTCCTTGCATTAGAAGGATCATCTCTGGGACCAAGAATCAGGAATGTGCTTGCCTAGGTAGGCTATCATAGGGTTTGGTTTTTTCAGAGGTTTTCTTGTTTTTAAGATCGAAGAGCTAGTATCAGTATTAATTTTAATAATCATTAAATGATACTGAGATCAGTTCCAAATTCCTTCATAGCAGGTCACAGTAAGCAACAGAGCAGTACTGACAGGCCATTGCATATACAATTTCTTGGGTTTCTTTTAAGAAATAGGAGCTTCATTACCTTGTAGTCAAGCAGTTCTGGTTTGGTTGTAAACAATCTGTTACACTGCTGACACCTGAGTTTTACAACAGGGCGGGCAAAAGTGGCTTGCTGGGACTGGGCAGCCAGCCTCTGTAGACCAGCTGCAGCTGAACTGCTCATGGAGCTGGGGGACACAGTTGAGGTGGTTCCACCTGCAGATACCATCGCCCCTGAGGGAATGCTTACAATGACTTGACCTTGTGACAGAGGTACCACCGAGGAGTTCGTTCCTGCAGGCTTGTTGAACAGATTCTGCAGGAAAGCACATTGAGGAACAGAGCTCATTTTACAATATTACAGACTTCACCCAACATCCCAGGTGTTTCCACCATCAATTCATTAATCTGTTAATTCAGCTAAGAAGAAATCCTAAATGTCATACCTGAAAAGCTGCTACGCAACTGTAGCTGCAAAAATTGCGTATGCTCCCATCAGACATAGCCAAATGATACTGAGGGTGTGATGAGGTTTTACAGCTGTTGCACTGAACTTGAACACCTGAGGGTGAAACAGAGAAGAAAAAGTGATTGATGCAACATCAGGTTGTATTGCAGATACTTTTGTGCTGCGCATACAAGAACAGAGAATCTGAATGACAAGCCAAGTACATACAGAAGCTCAAGATGAAGTTTCTACAGAAGCAGACACTGCAGCTGCAGTGCCTGTTGCTTGCCAGATCCTTTAATTAATCTCCCAGTATCCCTAGGATGTCAGTAAGCATTTTTCCATTTTACAAGAAAAACAGCTGAGAACATGTTTGCCCAGCTCAGTGCAACATTAGGCAGAGGTAGCTAAGCTGATCACCCTGGAGAACAAGAAGCTGAACAGTCACAGCAGGGGTATGGCATACGTTCACAGGAGCGGATTTGTCTAGCTGGGAAACATACCAGCTGCACTTGCAAGAGAAGAAAATAGATTAAGGCTTACTGTCATGTTTAAACTCTCTAAACACAAAGCTGAAATGGCTGTACCATCACTGTTACGTTTATCTATAGTCAAAAGTCCTTAAGATCCCATCTCAGCACCGCCCTTTAAAAAACAAAGCCACTTCCCACCCTCCTAGAAAAGACTGTCAGCCTTAACTTCCAACACAAATTAGCTTAGGCGTGAACTACGTGAAATTATGCTTCTAAAGAAGTGAAAGGATAAACTTACCTGCAGAAGTAACCATCTTTACTCTATACGCTGACAAGCAGTTAACAGAGCAAAACAGTTCAGTTTTTCCCAAGTTATTTGCACTCTCGATCATCTCGACTGATGATCTCAAAGCCTTACACAGCGTGCAAGGTGTAATTTTGGCTGACTTCTGTGGAAACATGAAAATTGGTCATTCTTTTGGAACTCAAGTGCCTTTATTAACCTGGAAATAAATCACTGACATGAGTATAATAATTATCAACTATTACTTTTCCTCTCCACTTAATTCAAATGCTACAATTTAGTAGAGAATATTCAACCAGGGAGCACCTCAAAGGCTGAGAGAAGTCACAGTGGACTGCTGCTGAGTGGGCTCAGTGTGTCTTCTCACACTGGAATACTCTGGTAGTCGGTTCAGTGGTAAGGGAAACAGTGCAACATGTCTGGGCAAAGATTAAGCAGTGAATGGCAAAAGGAGTTATCTTAGACCTAGACAGTAACCAAAATGATCAACTAATAAATCGGGTGCTTCCTGGAACACTCAAAATCTAATCAAAGACATACTTTTAGCGTTCTATCAACATATACCTGCTTGTACGCTGTCACACATGTCGAACTGCAGAACTTCTTTGACTGTCCCTCTATCTGAAGTACGTGACATTGGCCAGAGCCACTGTAGCAGTATCCTCCACAATTCTCACAGCAGTTCATAGTCAAGTTGTTAGCTGAGCGGAACTTGGAGAAGCAGGCATCACTGCAGAGCTTGTGTACAACGTTCTGGTAATTCACTTCGTGTCTAATCTGGAAGAAAAGAAAGAATATATAACAAAGATAGAGAGAATATGTATGCTCACCTCTGAGGTAACCAGTTGTCCTGCTCTAAAGGAAATTAAAATGAAAAAGAAGTTTGCAATTACCACTGCATTCTTCTGGCACATGCTGCACTTGCTTGAAATGCTGTTAGTGTGAATAGTAACAACAGGTTTCCTTTTCAGTTCGTATGTAGAAAGACAAGACTGGCTGCAGAAATCCTTACTGAAGTTTGTATTGTCAAACTGGGCAGTGATTACATCCTTTGGATTTAGAATGTCTCTATGGATAAAAAGAAAAACAAACAGATAAAGAACTAATGTTGGCTTCATGTCAACTTGCTGTCCTTTTCTGCAGACTAAACATTCTCTAGAAGAGGGTGGATTCATTTAATTTAAAGCTTTTCTTTTTGCTGAGCTAAATACCTGACCTCATTTTATTTTGCCTATTAGGAAAATGGATAGGAAATACAATTCTCAAGTAGGTATTCTGTGAAACACTTTGCACCTGGACTTAGGAGTGGCCTATCAATACATCAGGCGGTGTCACTAAATCTTTTCAAAAGAAATTGGGGAAAAGGGAACTAGTTTTACAGTCTCTACTAAAAAAAATAAAATTAGAATGCAGGATGGGTGGAATAACCCCCTTTACCAATGAAAATACCAATCATAATGGGGTAGGGACCAAAAAAGTCACAATTTCTAATCACCAGGTAGTTGAGTCATAGAATCATAGAATCGTTAGGGTTGGAAAGGACCCTAAGATCATCTAGTTCCAACCCCCCTGTGTGGGCAGGGACATCTTACACTAAATCATATCACCCAAGGCCTCGTCCAACCTGGTCTTGAACACTGCCAGGGTTGGAGCATTCACAACCTCCCTGGGCAACCCATTCCAGTGCCTCACCACCATAACAGGAAAGAATTTCCTTCTTACATCCAACCTAAACTTCCCCTGTTTAAGTTTTAACCCGTTACCCCTTGTCCTGTCACTACAGTCTCTAATGAAGAGTCCCTCTCCAGCATCCCTATAGGCCCCCTTCAGATACTGGAAGGCTGCTATGAGGTCTCCACGCAGCCTTCTCCAGGCTGAACAGCCCCAAAACGGGCAACTTTCCATCTCTTATCTCCCATCTACAGTTTTGTTTGTTGCCAGATTTAACAAACTGAACTTTCTCCTTATGTTTCTCTCATTTGAAACAGTCACTGGCAGAGAAGTTTCAAATTACTACTACAACAAATTAAAGCCCCCTCCTACTTTGAGCAGCTTGAGCAGGTTTTCTTGGTAGAAGCTGGTGGGCGAGAAGCTGGAACAGTGTATCCAGTGAGGCACAGTGTGGAGCAGAAGAGCTGGGTAGAGCCTTTCCTCTGGTATGCGGTTTGCCCCTTCTGCAGGATTTTTTTACAGCCAGAACAGGAAACCCGAACAGCTGTGCTTGGAACTGAAGGAAGCATTTTACTCATGCCAGAGGATGCCACAGCAGGCTGGAAACCTGATGACAGCTGTGGAGCTAAAAGGAAAAAAAACACACAGAGAAAACATAGAGTAACTGTTAGAGATGGATTAAAACACAACTCACTTGTGTGCAGGGGGCAAGCACAAAGCTTATGACTTCACGTGGGTTGTCAGAGTCTAAAGGAGAATTAAATAGCAGATGAACTCTCCATAATTACATGCTCTGTGCTCGTTTTCTGTGTAGATTGTTTCAATTATTCTTAAGACTGAGAACACACTTTTAACATCCCTAAAAACCAGTCAATTTTCCTATGCCTCAAATACAACTGTTTTATAATTTGTGAATTTTATTATTTCTAAAACAAACTAGTTCTTGTTTCCTACTGGGGTCAGACGTAGCAAATGAACTCCAGAATAACCTGCATGGCTATTTGCAAAGGTGACATATTTTACAGATTTAAATAAAGTTAAGTCTTGGCTATTCCTTACCAAGCGGACTGCCACTGACTGAAAATACGGCACTGATTTTCAGCTCCCCTTCCTGAGATTTTGGCTGTTGGCCGTACTCCTAAAACAAAAGGAAAGGGAGAACAAATACACACATGTAAAAACAGGCTACATGATTTCCATTCTTTCATAATGTTGCATTCACTCTTAAGGACAAGAGAGTCCCCTATGCCTCCTCCAAACAGCGGGTTTACAGATGTTGCTGTATGACAGCCACACACAGATCCTGCCCAGAGGCTCACAGCAAACTACAACCCAGGGTCTCATGTGGAAACAGAAAAGCATGGCTGCTGGTGCAGTCCCCCTGCCAGCTGTACTCCAAGACACCTTAGAATTCACCCAGACAAAGCTTAAGGGAATCCTCTGCTTTCCATCACAAAACTTCCCATCTAGAAGCGTTCTGCTGTCCCTGCTCCTATCCTGTGAAACAAACTTTGTCTTCCACATTAATAGATGATAATAATGAAATAGAGACTGGGAGCTAGATGGTGAGAAGCATGTGGTACTCAATCATGAGTTAAGTACCTCAGAGTAGCCTAAGGTGAAGCTTCTCAGCAGACCAAAGCTGGCACCACTACAGCCAGACCATCACAGTCCCTGCTCTGACTGGCTTCAGCGAGAGGGGAATAACCTTACACTTCCTGCAAGATGAGAAAATCCCTGCAGGCAGCCGCTTGTGGAGTAGCTGACATGCTATAAATTACTAGCTTACTCCACAGCAGCTATTCATACTTTGACACCATGCTTCATGCTCTCCATAGAAATGTGAACCATAAAGCAGCTTGTAACACTCTACATGTAAATCTTAATAGGCTGAAAAGCATAATCTCTTGGAACTCCAGAGATGGTAAGATTTAACCTACTTACAGTCATCTGAGAGTAGTGAGGCATGATGTCATGTTATGACTGAGCTCAATTCACAGTTGCTGTCTGGCTGCAAGGTAAGCCAATTCAAAATCACTGAGCAAAGTTAAGCTCTCACTTCTCAGTGGCACCGAGCTGCTCCCTCAGCTTAAGCCATCTCCTAAAATCACACACCAGCATCCATGTAATACATGCTTAAACTTAACGCTTCTCTTATTCCTGTGGGAAAATGGCAAGTTTCTATACTAAGGCTACCAAACGATTTCTCAACAGGTTTCCCAGGAGTACAGGCAACAGTATTCATTCATCATCAGACTGAAACATTCAAAGCTCAAGTGAGAGAAGCTTTTAAGCTGTGCATGCGCATGCTGTGATGATGGGGTTTAAAGCACCATTTCTTTAATAGAACAATTTAAAAACTAGCTCTTTGCAGACAGACAGGATTTTAAGCATTTTAACTGCAGTTTTATCCTTAGTCAGTAAGAGGCAAATCCTGACATCAACTGTGCATGATCAAGCATAGTTTCACAGCAGTGAAACTGTGTTGAAAGCCAAGAAGTTCAGCTCCAACTATTGGTCACAGCCAGAAATGCTCTTCTCTTTCAGAATGAACAAAAAAACCAACAAACCCCCACATTCATTCCAATCTAAAGCAAAACAAAATGAACCTTCATCAGTTCTCATACTTCTCCCGCATCAGGCAGAGTTGATGATTCCAGGATTTTACTCCAGGAATTAGTATTTTGGACAATACAGTATTTGATAATGTCCATCTAAACCACAACAGATATTTAAATCCTTCAAGTCTTCACTTTTACTTATTAATATGATCTTTGATAACCACAGACATCTTGCATTGCATTCCCCACAAATCCACACAACAGATGCCATCCTAGGAATTCAGAGAATAGAGATTTAACCAACCTATACGTGGTTTGACGTTATATACACTTAAGGAAAAATAAACCCAATCTCATGACACTAAACAAATCAGGAGAGCAGTGAAATCTCAATAGTTTCAAACACTTTGTTTTCATCTTTATTTTATTAAACCAAGAGTATCAGGGGAAAAGGAGAAAACACATTGGGAAGATAGGCCCAGGGAGTAGAGGAGGTTTAGCAGAAGTACAGAGCGATGGTAGAAAAACTAACGCCTGCACAAGAACACCATCACTCTCGTGCCGATGCAAGTGGGATGTTCTTGGAAGAGCTGCACACCTTTAATTCCAGGTAAATTTTGGCATGTAACCTAAACATTAGCAGTGAGGAGACAGGAACTGCAACACAGATCATTTCCCTGGTGTCCTGCAGCAAACCAGTGGCAAAGAGACCAGCTAGAGCTCAGCAGTCCTCACTCCAGAACCACTCAATCCATAGGTCAGACTTTCTCCATTTTGCAATTAGTGGACTTGTCCCTGTATCACCATAAAAAATGTCAGTCTCAAGTGAAAAAGTCTCCTGAACACATGCTTAAATTGACTTCACTGACCTAAACGTATTTAAATGCTTTGCTAAGGTAAGACCTGTAAGTGTTAATTTAGAACAAGAAAAGCAACGAACCACTGTGCTTGCAAAGAGAACCTTTAAGAGGGAAGTAGCAGCAATGTGTCATTTCAACTACACATCTCTCTGACTACTCACAAGGTGTTCAGTGAAACATGATCTGCATTTTATTTCCTAGGGAGACCAAGTTGAGATAAAGTGTCTACATTGACACAGATTAAATCATCAAAGTTTTATGGCACTTTGCTTTGTCTCTAACTGAAAAGCAAAACATTTTCAGTGACATGGTAACATGACATCAAAAAGTTGGGAGTCTGGGTTTCATGGTGGCTTAAGAGGGAAAAATCCTTCTACTAAACTAGTTAAATTTCGGTCAACAAACCAAATAAATCGCTGGATTTTCATCCAGCTTATGCGGTCAGTTGTCAGACCAAAATGAGAAATGCAATGGGAAACTTACCTTGGAATTATCAGGTTCATCTTTAATTCTGTCTAACAGTCCCTGCTGTGGGGCCATAGCTTTATCATATTCGTCATCCAAAGGCTCCTCCTTAATTCTAATATTTGGTGCAAAGGAATTCCCCAGCTCTTGTCCAATAGATTCCTTACTAGAAAATAGGTAGCTAGACTCCTGAAACAATAATATGAAAAAGAATTCACCCTCCTGCAACTGCCATTAGGAGTTGGGCTGCTACCAAGGGGAGTTTCTGTTGCAGACCAAGAGAAATGGGTCCTGCCACTGGAAGGTGGGAGAGACACGATGGGCAGCAAGCTGCTGCCCCTACCTCCCTGCAGCACCCTCTGTCATCCCACCCCCAATCCTTTTCACTCCTCTGGACAAAGCAGAAGCCACCCAGCTCTTTAAGTTGGTTGTCAGTAGGGGCATTCAGTTGTTTGGGCAGCGTCTCCTGTTGATAAAGCTGTTCCCTGTCTTATCTGGAAAAAAGGCAGCAGGCCAGATGGATGCATCCAGGTCTAGATTCGGCTCACCAGTCAGTCAGACCATGCTGAACACCACAGTGGCTACCAAAAGAATCCTCAATCCAAACTTTTACAAAATAATATGCACTGCTTAAGTAGGAAAGATGGCTAAGAGTCAGAAGATCAGTTTTCCTGATACTCAAAATTTACACTCAAATACAAAATACGTATTTTGAATTATTCCAGTATATTGCTGCACTTGCAAAAGTGGTTTAAAGATCTATAGCTTACCCTGAAGTTAGTTTCTGGAGTTTGTGGAGCTAACTGCGTCCGTAATGTTTCTTCTACTTGATTATGAACTGAGGAAAACATATACATTAAATATAAATGAATACAGAGTCCAATGCATTTCCTTTAAAGCTATCTAGAGTCTCATGCTGATCCCCAACCCCATAGTCTGGCAGCACCTCAGAAGCGTTAAACTACTTCCTTTTCTCCTCCCTGCAAATAAGATGGTATTCCTTAAGGAGAACTGACATTTTATTATTATTCTATTGGGTCATTATTTTTCTATTCCAGAAAAATGGCTGTGATACTCTGAGGCAAACTGTTCCTTCAGAATTTTCTACACCCCTGTGGGTTCTGAACTCTCCTGGGTTTCAACATCTAAATCATAGAATATCTTTCAGAGCAACACCTTTCATCCTTTTCTTTCCTGTTCTACTCTTTTTTGCCTCTGCTCTCTTTCCCAGGAAACAGTAGCTTTTTCAGCACATACCTTGTAAAAATTCTGGATCCTGGATGCTGCCTATCAAGCATTTACTATTTCTATTTCAATTACTGAGTGCTCTTCCTGAGGCTGCACAGCTTTCAGCCACAACCTTGTAACTGCAACTATTCACAATTTTCTGAAGCACATCTTTTGCACAGAAATATTCCTCACTTGATTTCCACCTGAAGGTAAAAGTAATGAGACATCTTTAACTCTTCTTTATTTTAAAAACATCTGTATTGCTTCTCTATCACTTGCGCCACCTGGAAGCACTGATTTTAAGATGCTGTTACTAGACGTACAAAGTTTAAATACCAGAATTGTAAGCTGTGAATCTGAACAAGCAGCCAGGAGGCTCTCACTTGCTGACCAACCCTCTCTCCATACAGTCTTCGGAATACAATTAAATCACACATTCCAGCCTGGTTGTTCCTAACTCCTTCATTCACCCTTCTACTGTAACTTTTGGAGCTTGGGAAGTCAAAACCAAGTGTGTGGGCAGAAAGATTACTGGTGACTGTCAGGCTCCCTCAAATGAGAAACAGATCACAGGCATCTCTGCTTCTCTCCATGTTGGCTGGACAAAGTCCAAGACACAAGTATCTGAGGCAGAAGGAGAGCACTCTCCCAGGAAAAGCAGATCTCAAGCTACTCTCTGGCTGACTTCCTGCAGACACTAACACATTTCTAGCAGGCCTTTCTGTGCTGATACTACCAAATGCATGCTGCTTTAAATATGTGCACATTCATGAAGAATCGGTACTTTGCTCCAAAAAAATCTTTCCCAGCTATCAACTTCAACTAAACTTCAACTTTTCCTTTAAGGAGTTCCAAGGTCTGTAAAATACACTGAAGACAAAACAAAAGGAAGCTTGAATTGTCACCCAGCTTGGTTTAGAAAACCACAGCAACAAAGGATATGTTGAGGCTTTGAAACAAGCTGTGGAAGATGAGACCCCCCCCTAATGCTGTCAGGCCCTTCTCCAACTCATGGTTTTACTCCAGAGTTCACCATGGTTTAGGGTTCTTTATGAAATGCTTCCCTGAGTACAGCTCTACATATTCTCTTCAACAAGATGGTGTTTTTAATAACTAGCCCTATTGCTGATTTCTGTCTAGTTCTTTCTTCCTCTTTGCTGGGTAGCCAGGTCTACGATGCCAACAGTTACCTGCTTTGTCAAGAAAACTGCTTTTCAATCTAGAATCTGTGTCTTTTGGGATTTTTTCCAACCGTTTTTCACGTTCTTGAAACTGTCCTTCTCTATTCTTGTCCTTTGCTGAGAAAGTCTCTTTGCCATTATCTCTTGTTATGCTAAAATCTTTCCGAGTTGATTTAAATACAGGGCTCTGCTCAAATGGTGAAGCGAGATCCTTTTGGATTGCATTCTGAACCTGAATTTCTTTTTCACTGTCCAAGTCATGATCTGTAACTCTCTTGCCCTCTTCCAAATGGTCTTCATCAGAAATCGCTGAAGAAAGAGTGTCTTTTGGAGTGAAATTCTGTTCATCTTCATTGTCACTCCCCACAACGGGTATGCCAGCAAGATCCCCAGAGTTCAGAAAGAAATCATCCTCATCCTCATCATCATCATCCAGCAGTGAGTTTTCAGATCCTGTTCGATTCTGTATTCCATAAGATATGCTGTCGAGGGCAGGCGTTAAGTTGTTGTCAGTGTCCTCTGACATTTCTGCATCCAGAATTTCACCACCTAGGGAGAAAAAAACAAAACCAGTCAGAAAATTCACCAACTTTACATGTAACAAAGGACAAGGGCAAGCGTCCTTTGCCAATCTGTTTGATGCTGCAATTCCTCAGATACTCTAAACCTTCTCGGGCCAACATTACTGGTAAAACATTGCTGACATAAGGAACAGTTCCGTCCCACTCACCACATAGTGAAGCAGAAGCTGAACTGAGTAAAACTAACGAAAAAAAACATTAAATGCATCTCATCTGTAACACTTGTGGAGAAGGCAATGCATGAAGGGAATGAGCAGCAAGGGCGTGGAGAAGGGCAAACAGTCTTTTTCAGCAGCAATGATACTTCTGAGGAACGTTTTGGGAAACTGTGGCCTTATATAAATAAATAAAGATACTTACATTTTTCTGTAATATCAAATACCGCATCAGATTTATCTTCAAACTGTAAAAAGGAAAGCACTGTATCATTATCTTGGTCAGCTGCCATGGACTTTGCTAAAAAGTACCCGATGAAAACCAAAACCAACAAGAAGGGTCACAACTCCACCTCCTTCGTTTCTCATCCCAAGCAAAGTTCTATGGATTAAGACTCTCACATCACTGAGAAGTCACATTTACCCTAACAGGTTCACAAGTACATAAAAAAAGGACACAATGACAACTCAGAGTTAGCTTGCTTCCCAGAGAAGGCGGAGGAGAGAAGGGAGGGAAGGACATGTCAAGATTTGCACATTTATGTGACATACTTGTACCAGGTCAGGATCATAGATTCTTCCCCCTTTGATGCTCTGTGATCCTTCACTTCCTCTGAACATTCTAAATGGCAAAACAGCAGCATATCCAGCTGCCACTGACATGGGCTGCGCAGACCTGAAGGTTTCATCTCCCTACCAGGGAACGTCCCCTTTCCAGGAACAGCAAAATGTAATGGTTAACTTCCTGACAGTAACAAGACAATGGGTGTCAGTGGGAGTGTAACTGAAGGACAACCAGCTGACAACGCTGAATGCGGTGCAAAACATCCATTTACATGAAATATTCTCTGCCAGACATTAAAATTGATGGCATGCTGCACTGCTGTCTGAAGAACTATGAGCACCCGGCATAATAAAAGTTTCCTTTAGAATGTCCAACTCATTAGCATCCTTCCCTTCTGCCTAAAAGATAACAGCAATTCACTGAAGTCATCCCTCCTTTACGTCTCTAACTCAACACTTTCTTTTCTGGTAGATCCTGCTCACACTTCAATTCTTAAGCCATCTTAAGTAAAGTAATGGGATTTGGTAGCAAAGGGATGATCTCTAATTTCATTTAACTCAAGTCATTTAGTTGGTAAATCCAATATTCTACAGGACTGTGATGGGAACTATCAGTTTGATAGCAGCCAGCTCCGGGAAAGGATGACAACATATTTTCCCAAGGTCCATCTGACAGCAAAAAGCCTATCAGTCTCTTTCTACTATCGCTTCCAGGTCTACAAGAAGAGTTGACTGCTTCAGCTTAATATGACACACATGAAATAGCAAGAATCTGTCCAGCACTGTGAAGACCAAGACACTTTGATACTTCACCAAAACTTTCCAGCTTCTCTGAACAGACACTTGAGGCTGAAAAAGTGAAATACAGAACCCAAGGGAAAAAAGAAAGTTACACATTTCTACAAGGCTGATGCAAGTCAATTCGTGGTAATTATCTAGAGGGAAAAACTAAGGAAACACCTTCCAGAAAGGCCTGAGTCCTGCTACAACTGTAACGATCCTCGGATGTCTCCAGAGATGCAAGTTTAATGTTGACCTGGAAGTCCACTTGCAGTCAACCAAGTTTACACCAGTGTAAAATGAATCCCCATAAATAGTGGATATACTTAGCGCTAACACCAGGTGCTGAGGACACACACAGCGGTGCTGTACAGGTTTTGTAGAAGAACAGAAAGAGGAACTTGTTGCCATTTGATAATAATATCAGAAAATGAAGCCCTGGGAGGCAAAACCAAGATAGCCTGGGTCCTTTTCTCTACACTGACCTCCCCTGATGCTTTTCTTGCTTCCTGTCAGTAATGCTCTTTCTTCTCCAAAAAAGTCTCACACAATTTGTAGGTCAAGCAAGAGAAGTTTTCAGCTGAGACGAAGCATTTGCTCATCCTTTTCTTGAAGTAGGTTTGTATCAAAGTAGTTCTTTAACTCTTTTGAGATCCAGAGTACCTGTGGAAAAGTATTCCAGGTTCTACTAAAGTCCCGGTTACCTTATAGATCCAAGCCCTGGGTATTCCTCCTCCTCTGGAGATAACAGATCTTTTACTAATAGGTGACAAGACCAGAAACGCCGTTATTAGGGAAAGAATACATTTTGCAGTCTGGACCTCTCTGTTTCATTTGAAGTCAGCACAAGGGGCCACCTGCAAGAGCACATTAGAGACTACCAGAAATATTTTGGACAAGTTGGAAAACATTTACAATCTACCTGGAAGGAATCCAAAACACTTCCCAACCACAAGGTCATCCTAAGAAAAAAACCCCACCCTATTTTGTTTCTTTTCTCTTTCTTTTGTGAGGCTACCAGAATAAAGAGATCTTGAATATTGTCTTCCTTTCAGAGGTTTTAGGTGCAGAGGAAGATCTATGTCTGTGGTCAAAAGCTTCCACTAGAAGTATTTATATAACAGGAACTTCAGCATCTGATAATATGAGCAGTCTTATCTAACCACCATCTAGTTTCTGATGGTGAACAGCATCAGAACTCCCACACGGTATAAAACCAAAGAGAGGAAACTAGGGGAAGTGTTTGTATGCTTCTATGTGGATACATACATATTTGCATACACATAAATATATACATAGATATATCTCTCCCCCATAAATTACTCATTCCATAGCAGTCTATAACTGGCATAAGCCCTTGATGAGGGCTCATATATTTTTTTCTGAATGAGTGTGGGATAGTCCCTCAATTACATACATTTCTGTTCCCTTCCTGAATCCTATTACAATCTTGTTTAATGCCATCTCAGAAGGAAATTTTGTATAGCAATAGTTACATGAAATCACCTTAATCAGTCACGTAAATTGGCTGTCACTGGTCTTGCATTACACAGAAATGTAAACAATAATGCCCACCTTCCTATTTCTACATTATTCTATTTCATTTCTGCAAGGCAATTTCCTCTCTCACCAGTCCTGGTCAGTTGCCATCACTCTCAATTCCCTTTATTTCTTCTGCTCAGATTTTTAAAGATTTGGTCATTAGTGGAATAAAAGTACCCTCGAGGCAAACACAAACCTGATGCATTGGATGGCATTCCCTATGGGTCCTTTTGACAGAATTAAGACAAGGCACTCAAATATCCCAGATTAAGTCCTAAATAACTACGAGTGGAAAGGCTCAAGAACAGTAAGATTTCTGTTAAAATACTCTAAGCTTTAACTCCCCAACACAGTTCTCAAAAAGCACTTGAAGTTGTACAACAAAACTCCAGGACATCGTATTTTAAAACACCTCCATTCAAGCACTTTGGCTAGTATTTTGCCAGAGAATAGTTTAAAAATACTTAGTGCTTTTAGGTAGTGAACATTCCCTAAGAGCTTAAGACAGAACAACTGAAGCTTGATATTAGCAAAATGAAATGGTTTAGAATACATTTTCCTTAGTGACTCTGCCTCACTAGCACTCAGATAGCACTAAATAAAGGAAACAAGAATACAGAAATGGTGACAAAACAGACAGGTATTCCTGGAACCAATGCGTTTTGCTTTAGATCACTATTTATATAAAGACAGTATTGCTTTTATATAAAAAATAATAATCCAGTAGGTATGCTGCTATTTTTTAACAATTGTAAATAGGACTCCAGGGGAACAGTGCTACATCCTCAGCACTAAGCTGGCTTTGCTTGGAGCAGGTGACAGAAGCACACTGTTTACACTTGAATCTAATGTGCTAATTGGAAATACCTAAAAACCTGTTCAATACTCGAATGGTGCCACAGCATCCATAAATCAAGCAACTAATGCATTATTTTGGTGCAATATAAAGAGAGAAGGTGCCTATGGCTACAACCTTGTTTTGACTGCAAACCAGAGGATTTCTTTAAATGAACAAAACAGCACCACAACTTTACATACACAGGCACATATCTTTCTAGCAGGCCTTTTGAAGTTTGATCCTAGGTTTTACTGCATCCGTAAGCAAACTGTGGAAAGGAAGCAGATGTTAAGAAAACTGCAATTAAAATTAGTCAGAGATGGTTCTCAGTTTCTGGTCTGTACAATTGCCTTGTCCCTGTACACACAGCACAACCCTCCCCCCACCCCCAAACTCCAGAAATCATTAAACTGATAAGGAAGACACAACTTGGAAGAAAAAAGTAATCAAAATTGTAATCGCTATTCCTGAAGCGGGAGGGCTGAGCTCAGGAAGCACCCCCTGACCTTTTACACATGACACCCCTGGAAGGGATGCCAGCCGCGCTGCACCCCTGCTATGGGAAAGCTCCGCGGTACGAGCACAGTCAAGCAGCGGGTCTCTCCCGGAGCTGCTTCCCACCGAAACACAGCCAGCATTCCTACCTCCGGAGCACCTGGGGAGGGACGAGCAGAGGGTAACAAAGAGCCAGCCTGCTGCAGATACCTGCTACAGGAAAAGAACGGCTGCGGCAGGAAGAGAACCCGGCGGGGTCAGGCTAGCCATAGAGCTCGGCGTGCGGCGCGGGGCCTGCAGAGCCCCCTAGCAGCCCCGGCTGCGGCCCTGCGCTGCGGGGCACCACGCGTGGCTCTTCACAGGGGAGAACGGGTTCGGAGCCGCCGGCGGGGAGGCTCCGAGAGGGAGCCTGGAGGATTCTGAGTCCTTAAGGCTTCCCTGGGCAGCTGAGCCACGCTCAAGACTTCAAAAGATCATTTTTAATCGAGGCTAAGAGGAATGAAATTGATACCGGGACGGGCGGTTTTAAAGGCAAATCCTAAACACCCATCTCTACACATAAACAAAGGCAGGCATTTTTCAGTTTCTTGTGGCTCCCTATCTTTCTGTTCAAGAAACACATTCATACCTTGCATCTCACTAACTTCACCGTCAATTTGCATCTTCAGTCTTTAAGTCTCAGGAAAGAAGATTCAGGCACATGCTGGTGCCCTTCACTTGTGCGGTTTTAGAATACCGACTGATTCACCAGACAGCACAGGGTTCAGCACATCGGTGTATTGCCTGTCTGTCCCCAGCTATTCCATTGCCTGTCTGTCCCCAGCTATTCCAGACATCCCTGAGCTGCCTGAATATTCACAGGCTAATTCCAAACAAAGCCCCTGTTGACTTCATGGTTTCAGATCCACCCAACATGCACACACAGGCTGCAGCCTGTTACCAACCTGTACAGGAGCAAGTAGATGAGCCTGTCAACACACAGAAAGTTACAGCGTGCCCTGCTTACTCTGAATGATCAGTGGTTTTAACCTACCTACAAAAAGTAGAGCCCTTCTCCCATCTGCCCACAAAACATGGATTTGAGAAGGAAGCAGCTCCACAAAGAAGGCTTCACCTTGCAATGGGTTTCTGAAAGACATTAGTTTGATGTGCTGATTTGAAGCCTGCTAGACCTGTGGGCTTTGGCAATTAGCAAACACACCCAGACACAAAACACACATCAAGCAAGCAAACAAACCAAGACATCCACAAGAAAGGCTTTCCTTTAAAAACAAAGAACTTCTCTCCTCAAAACCTCACTATGGCTATGCCCTGATCTTTCCTGCTGCTGTTGAAGGCACTACAAACCACCACTGACACTGGGATTTCGGTTACACTAAATCTGTAAGTGAGCTGAAATAAAGGGAATTCCCATTTCTCACAGCATAAGTCAGAAAAACTAAACTGGATGTAAAAATCACCAAAATCAGAGCAGGGTCCATATCATAACAATGGATGTTTCTGCTGTGATACTCAGTGGGTAATTACTCCAAACCAAGTATTTCATTTTAGTTCCATATTTTAGCATCCCACAAGGAAGACAGCACTGCCCAGATTACAAATGTATACTTCTGGCCAAGCTTTCAGAAGTATAGCTCTTTAGAAGATCATGTTCTACAAAGCAAGCAATCCCTTTAATTCCACTGAATTCAGAAGCTGAGCAGCTCTTAAAGAGAGAGACATCACCGTATCTTTTAAGGGAAAACCAGTCCATATAAAACAACTAAGAAGCAGTGAGGGTAAGAATCTGGGGTGCAGGACCGGCACTATAACCTCCCAAAGATCCTTCTACTCAATGTCTCCCCCAAGAGGATAATGAACCATCTCAGTAACCACTTCTTAATAATTACCTTAATAAAAGGGGAAACCCCCCAACCTTCTGTCAATTGATCTTTAAAGAAAGTGAAAGGTGTAAGCTGACGTCTGCTTTTCATTATAATCTGTCCCCAAAAAGGAAGCCTACAAGATGGTTTTCATGCAAACTGGGCAAATTGACAAACATAGCACCTTCTGCTTGTTGATAAACGCAGCGGGGATCATCAGCCCTCCTTCACAGAATGGTTTAGATGTTAATAGCCCACACTGGTGAATCAGCTTATCTACCATTAGGTTCTACAAGTCTTTCCCTTATTGTAAGAGTTTGCTGCCAGCTCTCATCAAACCTACAACTCCAGCCCCATTTGTAGTTTTTGCCCTGGTTGGATTTACTATTTCTTTTCCTGTGAAGAAGTGGTTCTTACAACAGGCAGTTCAGTTGGATGTTTCACCTTCTTTGCAGATACTATTACAAGTAACCAAGGCTCTTGAGAATGAACTGCCTGAACACCAGTAAAACCCCATAGAAACGCCACTGGTACTATGCGATTAGAGCTCCTGTGACTGATGGCTTCATGCAGCCCCAAGAATTGCCCTGTTCTGTGAACAAACAAGACTGCACAAAATGCCTGCAAGTACTTGAACAGCATCAGAGTGAGAGGTCCAACCACTGAGCCACCTCTGCTTCGCTCTTCTGCCTGCAGGTAAGTGACAGAGCTAACGCTTGCCTTGTATTGGAATCCTCACCCCAATGTGTCTTTAAACATATTTAACCAATCTAGTCAATTTTGAGATAGCAGATATTTTGCCAAAAAACACAGAAAGTTTAATTTTTTTGCAGAGCACTATAACAACTCTTGCCAGGAAATATTAAGCATAATAAAGGCCTGTTAATAGTCTGTGTTAGCTAAACTGTATTCCATAAAGGCTTTCTTGGGCAAATAAAGCCATTTAATAAAGATGAAATGCTTTTTAGACTGTTATAACAAATATCAAGATTCAAAAAACCACACAAGTTATTAAAAAAAATTATAAAAGAAAGCAAGTACTCCAAAATCTCTCCTGTAGGAATAACTCTGTACAGTTGTGCTAATTCTGTCTCAGGCTCTTCTTACCTAAATTTAGACAACTAAACATTAGTTTATTAGGCCAGTGATTCAGGTTCCCTCTTTTTACAAAGGAAATGAAGAGATTCCTGCAGCAGCAATGCATCCTGCCCCACGACTGGGCAGAAGATCTTTCAGAGATTCCCATCTGATAGCAGAAAGAGTACAGAGTACCCAGGTGAGAATACCCAGGTAACTGTTACCTGGGTACAGAAAGCACAAAAAGATTGCAAATGGAAAGCAATTATTCCTACACCCTCCCCAGCCCTGATCTCAGACCAAGCACTTGGCGAACTCAGGACCAAGACTCAGATTTTGATACTGAACTTCTCCAACCTCTTAGAAGACTTCTAACACTTCTCTGAATCTGGACCAGCTATCAAAAAGGAAAAGGACCAAATGTAAAAGTTAAGTTTTGGTTTTGTTACCAAAAAACTGCAATAAACTGAGGGGAAAGACAACATTAATTGGAATGTCTGGAAGGAATGGTGGGATACAACAGTCATTACATAAGACAAAAGTGGAGATAACGTCAAAATTAATTTTCACTATCCTCATCATGCAAAGGGCCTCAAGGTGGGCATAAAGAGCTGACTTGACTTTCTGTATCTCATAAAGTGGGAGAAGTCCTCACGGGAAAAACTGAGATCTGTTACACTTGGTTTTTAGAAGGTGAATTCAAAACTTCTGCCATCAAAGCATCCTCTAAGAGATGCACAAGCCTTTGCAGAGAAATGTTCTCATCATTGTCTTTGTACCATTCGAGAGCAGTTCTGTCACAAACCTTTCTAAATGAGGCGATCCTTCAATTTTTAATTAAAGCCATGCAAAATTAAAGCTGTTTTATTGAGGCAGCCACCGGGTGTTCACCTATTCACACCAAATTCATTTCCAAGAGCTGGAGTGTCACATTACAGGAGTTAGCACTGCTACAGGCTTAAATAAATGATCATTCTATTCAAAGTATCAACCGTTCAAGACAAGGATATTATTGTATATTATTCAATATGCAAATTAAAGTTGAATTGCCACAAATATTTGTATAAACTAATTAAAAACCCCATACAAACACCTTCCAAGTAAATCTTGATATTATTTTGCAACTATGAAAAGTTAAATATGTTGGTGTCTTTTCCTTAGAAAAATGCAACAGTTTTGATTAGGGGCAGAAACAAACCTCTAAAATACAAATTTAGCCATAAAAACTTTGTAGATACTTTAAATCAAAATCAGACAAAACCTCCACATCAGTCTTTCACTGGCAAAAACTTTCTGTTTTACTTTGTGGCTCATTATGGTGGATTGAGCTAAAACACAGCAACTGCTCACAACGGGCCTGGCAAAGAGCCAGTTCCAGCCTAAACGTTTCTGGAATAACAATATTTGCCAAAGATCTTAATACTGAAAAGAACAATCCTGAACACACCAGCACCTGCTCAGCTCCTCTCTGGAGAAGTTATTAAATTAGTCTTTGTTTATTCCCTATGAAAGAAAACAGTTTTTTTTTATGAGAAATGCTCATTATTCCTCACGTACAGGATTTGGGAGAGTCCATCACTGTGACCTCCTGTAGAATGGGAACTGGACAGCTATGGAGAAATGAAATACACGGGTCTTCCAAGACCTCATTAATTATGGCTTTAATGGAAGATGCACAAGTGTCCTGTATTTACAGTATGTTAATCTCATTCTTCATAGCCTCTATCAGTAAATCA